TGTAAGACAGGAAGCCATCAAAATCCTTGAGGAGAAAGCAGGTAAAAACATCTTTGGCCTGGGCTGCAGCAACTTCTTACTCAACATGTCTCCAGAGGCAAGGGAAACAAAAGCAAAAATGAGCTATTGGGACCTCATTAAAATACAAAGCTTCTGCACAGCGAAGGAAACAATCAGCAAAACTATAAGACAACTGGCGGAATGGGAGAAGATATTTGCAATCGACATATCAGATAAAGGGTTAGTATCCAAAATCTATAAAGAACCTATCAAACTCAAAACACCCCCAAAACAAATAATCCAGTGAAGAAATGGGCAAAAGAGGTGAATAGACACTTCTCCAAAGAAGACATCCAGATGGCAAACCAACATATGAAAAAATGCTCAACATCACTCATCATCAGGGAAATACAAATCGAAACCATCTTACCCCTCTCAGAATGGCTAACATTAACAACTCTGGCAACAACAGATGTTGGCGAGGATGCGGAGAAAGAGGATCTCTTTTGCACTGCTGGTGGGAATGCAAACTGGTGCAGCCACTCTGGAAAACAGGATGGAGGTTCCTCAAAAAATTAAAAATAGAACTACCCTATGACCCAGCATTTGCACTACTAGGTATTATACAAGGGATACAGGTATGCTGTTTAGAAGGAACACATGTACCCCAGTGTTTATAGCAGCACTATCAGCAATAGCCAAAGTATGAAAAGAACCCAAATGTCCATTGATGGATGAATGGATAAAGAAGATGTGGTATATATACAATGGAGTATTACTTGGGAATCAAAAAGAATGAAATCTTGCCATTTGCAACTAGGTGGATGGAACTAGAGGGCATTATGCTAAGCGAAATTAGTCAGAGAAAGACAAATATCATATGACTTCACTCATATGAGGACTTTAAGAGACAAAACAGATGAACATAAGGAAAGGGAAGCAAAACTAATATAAAAACAACGAGGGAGACAAAACATAAGAGACTCTTAAGTATAGAGAACAGAGGGTTACTGGAAGGATTGTGGGAGTGGGGATGGGCTAAATGGGCAAGGGGCATTAAGGAATCTACTTCTGAAATCATTGTTGCACTATATGATAACTAACTTGAATGTAAATCAAAAAAATAAATTAAGAAAAAAATTGAAGACGAAAAGAAATGGAAAAGCATTCCATTCTCATGGATTGGAAGAACAAATATTGTTAAAATGTCAATACTACCCAAAGCAATCTACACATTCAGTGCAATCCCAATCAAAATTGCACAGGCATTCTCCTCAAAGCTAGAACAAACAATCCTAAAATTTTTATGGAACCACAAAAGACCCTGAATATCCAAAGTTATGTTGAAAAAGAAAACCAAAGTGGGAAGCATAACAATTCTGGGCTTTAAGCTGTATTATAAAGCTGTAATTATCAAGATAGTATTGTACTGGCACAAAAACAGATACATAGAATACTGGAATAGAATAGCGAACCCAGAAATGGACCAACAAATATATGGCCAACTAATCTTTGACAAAGCAGGAAAGAGTACCCAATGGAAAAGAGACAGTCTCTCCAGCAAATGGTGCTGGGAAAATGGGACAGTGACATGTAGAGGAATGAAACTGGAACGCTTTCTTACACCATACGCAGATATAAACTCAAAATGGATGAAAGACTTAAGTGTGAGACAGGAAACCATCAAAATCATACAGGAGAAAACAGGCAGCACATCTTTGACCTTGGGTACAGCAATTTCCTACTTGATATGTCTCTGGAAGCAAGGGAAATAAAAGCAAAGATGAACTATTGGGACCTCATCAAAATAAAAACCTAATGCACAGCGAAGGAAACAATCAACAAAACTAACAACAGAACGGGAGAAGGCAACCAACAGAACGGGAGAAGATATTTGCAAATAATATATTGGATAAAGGGTTAGTGTCCAAAATTATAAAGAACTTACCAAACTCGGCACCCAGAAAACAAATAATCCAGTGAAGAAATGGGCAGAAGACATGAAGAGACACTTTTTCAAAGAAGACATCCAGATGGCTAACAGACACATGAAAAGATGTTCAACATCACTCATCATCGGGGAAATACAAATCAAAACCACAATGAGATACCACCTCACACCTGTCAGAATGCCTAAAATTTAACAACCCAAGAAACAATAGATGTTGGTAAGGATGCAGAGAAAGGGGAACCCTTTTGCACTGTTGTTGGGAATGCAAACTGGTGCAGCCCCTCTGGAAAACAGTATGGAGGTTCCTCTAAAAATTCAAAATAGGGGAGCCTGAGTGGCTCAGTCAGTTAAACGTCTGACTTCAGCTCAGGTCACGATCTCAGGGTTCGATCCCCACATCTGGCTCTGTGCTGACAGCTCAGAGCCTGGAGCCTGCTTTGGATTCTGTGTCTCCCTCTCTCTGCCCCTCCCCTGCTCACTCTTCTTCTCTCTCAAAAATAAACAGGGACTGGGTGACTCAGTTGGTTAAGCAGCTGACTTTGGCTCAGGTCATGATCTCATGGTTCATGAGTTTGAGCCCCGCATCGGGCTTTGTGCTGACAGCTCAGAACCTGGAGCCTGCTTCGGATTCTGTGTCTCCCTCTCTCTCTCTGCCCCTCCCCCACTCACACTCACTCCGTGTCTCAAAACTGAATAAACATTTAAAAAATTAAAAAATAAACATTAAAATTTTTTGTAAATGTGTAGACAGAAGAAAAGACAACATATGCATAGGTAAGGTATATACAAAGTATACATATATATATATATACACATATATATATACATACACACAACATATGCATATGTAAGGTATATACAAAAGAAGAAAAGTGCATTTAATTGATTAAGCAAGAACTTGGAAGGAAGAACACATGATATGTAGAAACTAACTTTGCAAAACAACCACCACAACCAAAGGAGCGTACATCATGAGAATGTAACTTGAAAGATCCAAATAGTGTTTACGTCTGAAAATCTGGGGAGCTGAGGAACAGGGAGTTGGAGGACATATATAAGATGGCTTCAATTTTATAATATGTTATTTCTTCTAAAGAAAAGAGAGGAATTTGAAGCAGATGTGGGAAAATGATAAAAGTTGACAAGCTACACAGTTCTCTTTTCTGTATGCTTAAAAGGTTTCATAATAAAAAAACATTAAGTGGCTATGTTGTAGTGATGCTAACAGGGCTACGTATCAAAATCTAAGATGGAAATACAGATAATTTACCTGGGAAACTCACACACAACTCACTGTGAACTCTAATGATGAGGAAGATTGCAGGGGAGGAAAATAACTTTCCTTACCCCCTTCTAGGTTCTTGGCTGAGACACCCTATGATAAAAAATTAACAAGAGAAAAACCAACCATTTTAATTATGTACACACACATATATACCTGTACAAAAGGGAGTCCCACAAAGATGGGAGACTCACAGGCAGCCAGGCACTGAGCTGAGGAAATGGAGAGGGGTCTGGGCAAGTGGGGGAGGGGCAGGGATGCTTCACAGGAAGGTGCTTGATAAACAAATGTTGACTTACCATGTAGGTTAGTCTCTTGTGTGAAAAACTAGTCTCTGGTAATAGCTCTCTTCCTGATATAAGCCTCCTTTCTAATTTCTTTAGGCCGTTAGGTGGGAGGTAAAAAGCTTTTTGTGAGTTCGCTGGATCTTGATTGCCTTCAGCTCAAGATTATCCACATCCAAAAGTAGCATGTTCTGGGGTGGCTTGTTCTGAACCCACTCAAGATAGATGTTAAAAGTTTAGTTTCGGGGCACCTGGGTGGCTCAGTCAGTTGAGCATCCGACTTCGGCTCAGGTCATGATTTCAGTTTGTGAGTTCAAGCCCCATGTCAGACTCTCACAGTCCCTGAGTTCAAGCCCCACGTCAGGCTCTGTGCTGACAGCTCAGAGCCTGGAGCCTGCTTCAGATTCTGTGTCTCCCTCTCTCTCTGCCCCTCCCCCACTCATGCTCTGTCTCTCTCTGTGTCAAAAATAAATAAAGATTAAAAAAAAAAAGTTTAGTTTCATGAAATGTGAGATTGAAAAAATAACAATACTTGAAGTCTAATTTTTGTATCAAGTGATTTCAAATACATGATTTGCATTTAGAAAATTAAAATGGGTTCTTATTTTCTGGCTCACTATATAAAAACATTCATTTTCAATTGTATTTTATAGTAAAATTTCTTGGTTTGGGTAAATAACACTTGTTATCTGTAGTAGTGTTAAAATAATCAGAATAATTTGGATGATCTAAAAAATATTTATTTTACATTTCCTGAAGCTGGTACTCTCTACCCTCAAGAGTCCAGAGAACTACAAAGTAAGGGGACTGGGCTGCAAGCTTTTATAGGAAGAGGCAAGTGGGAAGAAGGAAGGAAGAAGTACTTGGCTTATATTGATTGACTAGGGTTGCCTTTCTGGCCTTATTCAGAAAAGTCAAGGAACAGGGTAGTGAGTATCGCATCCAGGTTGGCTTGGTTTTGGGGGATTGGCTGACTGGATATACCTTTTTTGTTTCTGATCAAGGGGAGTTTTTACAGGGACACAAAAGCTTTGGTTCACTGTCATGACACCCTGGGCAGTAGTGGCTCCATCTTAGGCCTAGAAATTTATTTCAGTGGTACTAATCACTAGAAATAATTTGATATACCGACTTAGCCAGCCATATCAATTGTTCATCTGTTGTATATTTAGTTTACTCCTCTGAGGTATTTGTAGCAGGAGCCTAAGAACTGAATTTCTTTCACCAACTTCATGCATCTCTGGTTATTAAAGATGGCAAAGGATTGGAGCTGTGGCTATAACTGCTTCCTAACAATGGTCAGGGTGCTATGGTGCTTGTTTCATTCATCCTCTTTTGTTATTTACATAGCAGGCTAATTTATGATCTGCTAATGTACCATGGTTTATGGTTTGCTAATGTATTATTTCATAGCGCTTTCATAAATGGGCACGGTTTGAGATGCAGAATTTACAACAGATACAAAAGAGTTTTCCACTTTCAGGTATAAAAGGAAGCGAGCGTCTCCTGGACCTGATCGCCACATTTCTGGTACTGCAGTTTCTTCGTACCAAGTTGGAACAAAAGGGAATAGTCTTCAAATCACTGATGAAGTTGGATGATGCTTCCATTTCCAGGTGACTTTAATTATCGCATTAAGTAACTCATTTATATTTCTAACCATTTCTTGACTAAATTTTACAAGCAGCTACATGGAATTGTAAGAACAAAGAGAATTTATTCACAGGGAGTATCTTGCCTGCACTGTTCTGTCATTGACAGGGCAGACACAGTGTTTTTGCCTCTTGGGTTCCAGGAAAAACCAGGGCTCAGAGAGTTAAGTGTAGCTTATACTGGAGCTCAGATCTATGGCTCCTGGTTTAGTGTTCTTTTCACTATGGTATATTGATTAAATGTGCTTTTGGAAAATCTGCAATACGATTGTTAGGACCAGTCCTGTTCCCAACAGTTGCGGGCCTGGCACAAGAATATAGATGGAAACCCACATATTATCTGTCTAAGTATTTAAAAAGTATAAATGAAACTAGCAAACTGTCAAATAAAATATGTTTTAAAGTCCTGCCTTGGCAAATACAACTTCATGAAGACTGGGTTTAAATTTAGAATTCTGTGACCACTTGGAAGTTTTATGCCATAATGTGACAGAGTGGAGAGAGACAGTTCTGGGACCCTGGCTTCTAGCCCTTGGGCTGACCTCAGGCACCACAAGAGGCCTTGAGCCTCCATGTGAATACTTTCCTTACTTCCCAAAACTTCGTCCATACCCCATGCAAATGGTCACCCCGTATGTGTGTGTATATACACAGAATATACATACATGCACATAACACACATACATACATGTATAATTTGCTTATGCCTTTTTAAAAAGGCAAGATAAGTGGGAAAACTAGCAAAATTTATAAAAATACTATCTATAAGGAAAGGGGGAGGAGACAAGCTACGTTCTTCCTACTATATCTTGTTTTACCTTTTTGACTTTGAAACTATGTAGATATTTTGCATAATAAAGTCCATGTACCAGGGAAGAGGTATTAAACACGTTAAATTATACCATGGACTGCAATCAGCAGCGTCTGGAGTGTGAGGAAATAAATGGCAAAAGAAAAAAGGCAAGGGGTGGAAGCTATAAGTTACAGGACACATGCCCCAAAGGCAATGTGAGACCTTGTTTGGATCCTGATTTGAACAAAACCCGTATTATTTTAAAAAGAGAGAAAGAGGGGTGCCTGGGTGATGCAGTCAGTTAAGCATCTGACTTCGGCTCAGGTCATGATCTTGCAGTTCCTGAGTTCAAGCCTTGTGTTGGGCTCTGTGTTGCCAGCTCAGACCTGGAGCCTGCTTTAGATTCTGTGTCTCCCTCTCACTTTGCCCTTCCCCTGCTAGCACTCTGTCTCTCTCTGTCTCTCAAAAATGAATAAATGTAAAAAAAAAAAAATAATAACACACCTTTTTTTAAAAGAGAGACAATTAAGGAGATTTAAACAGTACCTGAATGTTTTGTGATATTAAAGAATTATTTATAGCTATTTTAATGTCATGTGTAAGAAAAAGTTCTTGTCTCTTAGAGATACATATTTACAGATGAAATTAAAATAAATAATCAAACCTGTTTTTTGGGAGTTTTTATAATGTTTATTTAAGATCCATGCTAGCGGGATGGTCAGTCAAAAGTTTACAGGCCAGCTGGATTAAAGGAAGGCCACTTGAATTAGTGAGAATATTTAAAACTAGTTTTGGAGCGCCTGGGTGACTCAGTTAGCTAAACATCTGACTTTGGCTCAGGTTTCTTGAGTTTGAGCCCTGTGTTGGGCTCTGTGCTGACAGCTCAGAGCGTGGAGCCTGCTTCAGATTCTGTGTCTCCCCCTCTCTCTGCTCCTCCCCCACTCGTGCTCTGTGTGTGTGTCTCTCTCTCTCAAAAAAATGAATAAACATTAAAAAAAATTTTTCTTAATAAATAAAACTAGTTTTGTTGCTTTCAGTAGTTAGTAACTATAAGTAGACTAATGATTACTGGCAAACAAATCTGTTTGATCGTGCTTGCCACTTATATGTTCATGTCATCATGATATTCAGCTAACATTTATTGATTACCTACTCTGGGCCAGGGACTATTGAGCCATGTGTTTTGTTAATCCCCACAACAAACCTCCTAGGATCTCATATTATTATCATAATTGAGGAAACTGAGGCTTTCAGTGTTGAATGAAAGCTGCACCATATCACATAGCCAACATTGTGTGATTTCAGAGTCAGGCTTTGAAACTAGCTCTTAGCCACCCACTATACTAATGGCTCTTTCCCAGTTCACAGGGAAAAAAACCAGGAAGATGGAGAATTTTCCAAATTTTTAGTCCCCCTGCCCATAGAATTTTTTTTTAACTTTAGTATATGTTACGACTTGTTTGCTAATGAATTCTAGCAGGTGACCAAACCAATGAGGAAGTAGCTAATACTAATGAAAAAATCTCAGAATTTTTCTGAGTCTTGAATAGACTTGAATATTTGACATTCTTGAATATTCGACAGCATTTTATGGACACAAACTGGAAGTTTTTATGTAATGCACAATTTAGTAGTACGTTGTTCCTGGTTTGTATGGTAATTAAATATGACAGTTTCATGGGTCTTAGGAAAATACCTAGGAAAATGGCTAACTAATCAAATTGAGAATTCCTGGTACAGTAAAAAGGCGAGAGAAATAGAAGCCTGGTTTGTAAAATAGTATTGAGTTTCTGCTTGAAGAATGGATGGATTTAGATCAAGAAAAATGAAAAGGGACAAAAAAAGACAAATACACATAGGCTGGAGGAAGCTTGAATTGTCCTGGAGGCAGCCAGGAAGTCTGTGAAGCATTTGGAAGCTGGAAAGTGATGGGTATAATATACTTAAAACTGTATTGAATAAGGAGCACCTGGGTGGCTCAGTCGGTTAAGGTCCGACTTCAGCTCAGGTCATGATCTCCCGGTTTGTGAGTGCGGGCCTCAGTTTGGGCCTTGTGCTGACAGCTCAGAGCCTGGAGCCTGCTTTGGCTTCTGTGTCTCCCTCTCTCTCTGTCCCACCCCTGCTTGCTCTCTGTCTCTCAAAAATGAATAAACATTAAAAAAAAAAAAGAATAAACATTAAAAAATGTATTGAATAAGTTAAAAGCACGTCAGTCTGGTAGGTAGAACTTTCATAAAATGTTAGAGTTGCTTTGATTAAATATCTTAATTTTTGACAGAATTATTTTGTCAGATCTAATGTGCTGCATTTCGTACCACGTTATATTTCGTATGTAATTATATTCTGAAATTGATGGAAACATTTCTTTTTAATCTAGAAATATTCCCTGGGCTTTTGAAGAAATAAAGAAAGCAAGTGAGTGGGTAAGAAGAACCGAAGGGCAATATCCATCTATCTGCCAACGGCTTGAATTGGGTCAAGACTGGGACTCTGCAACTAAGCAGCTATTGGGGATCCAAACCATAGACACCACTTCTCCTCTTCACAGAGTTCTTAATTACAATCAAGGCTGAATCAACTGAAGTTGTATTTTAAACATTATTCATGCTTCTATGTGTATAATAATCAGATATCAATAGATACCTATAATGAAGTTTAATTCAGATTTTATTCAATGTAGCACTCACTTTAAACAGAAACAGAATTGATTATTTTAATGAACAAGTGATAACCAATTACAATATTACAGATTTTTTGTGTTTAAATGCTTAAAGTAATAAGAGATACACCTGGCTAGTCCTGGAGCCTATTTTCTTCTCCCCTTTAAGGAGTCTGGTATAGAATCTGGCCAGCTAGGCTGAGAGAGCTGGGGAGAAACAAGGCCTTTGGCTGATGTCAGTGTTGCTGACATGCCAGCCTGTTTCCAGGCCCTGAGTATCTAGACCTTTGCCCTCGGTATGCATACTCCCTGCATCCTAGTCTGTAGATCTCTTGATACATTTTTTGTCACTCAGAGAAACTAGGTGTCTCATGCAATTCTTTCATGGATCTTGCTTTTGGTATTGCATCTAAAATCCTACAGTCATGTGGATTTCTTCCTATGTTATCTTGTAGAAGTTTTTATAAACTTTGCATTTTATGTTATGGTCTATGATCCATTCTGAGTTATTTTTTATGAAGGTTGTAAGGTCTTTCCATCTTCCCCTACACTACCATTTCCAGGCCGTTACCTCTCTACCTTTATGCAAAAACTTTGGTTTCTTTGAGGTTCAGTCTTTGGCTGTCCTCCAACATGTCCTCCTTGCTGTCATTCACCAAATGTTCAGTACCTCAACACATTTACATATGGTTCAGGATTTCCCTTTCTATTGGCAGTCCTGCCTTCATCTTGAGTGACTCCCCAAATCCTAATGTATGACCCCTCCTAATTCCCTGGACTCGAACCACAGCTATAATTGAGTCTTGGCAGAACTCTTTGATACCCAACGGATAGCAAGGAAGCTTGTGAGGTGCTACCATGAGGCCTTCTCCCACCTGCCTATCTCTCTGGGAGGCAGACATGAGACCGTTTTTTATCCTCCCAGTCCTGACAAGGCATAAGGCTCAGATACAGCTACAGACTAAAAATCCTTAGAGCTGCATCTAGACTTGGCTCCTCAGCATTGATGTGTCCCACAACTCACTTTGCAGTTATCTAGCTCCTTTTTGGGTGTGGGACAAGAACCAAGGGGAGCTGGCATCTTTGACTATCTTCCTCTTGCTGTTTATATAAGTAACAAATCATCTAAATCTAAAGTGGCTTGTTATATCTTTACTGGCTATATCAATCAGATCTTGCCATTGGCCTTGCTGCTTGACATAATCATAGAAGATAAACTCTTTTGTTTTATTAGATTAAGGAATAAAAGAATGATACCTGGTAGCAGAGTGTATGAAGGTTAACAGACTTCCTTATGTTGTTAATGAAAACATGTACTTGGTAAAACAAAATTTGGCAATATTTAAAAATTTTTTTTAATGTTTATTTATTTTTGAGAGAGAGAAAGAGAGAGAGAGAGAGAGAGAGAGAGAGAGAATGAGCGGGGGAGGGGCTGAGAGAGAGGAAGACACAGAATCCAAAGCGGCCTCCAAGCTCTGAGCTGTCAGCACAGAGCCTGATGCGGGGATCAAACCCATGAACCGTGAGATCATGACCTGAGCTGAAGTCAGAGCTTAACTAAGCCACCCAGGCACCCCTAAAATTTTGCAATATTAATCCAAATTTATTTTTTGCCTTAATTTGGATCTCCCAAAGTGCTCTCTGGATCACCAATTAGCTCTGGGATCCCTCAAATTAGTGAGACCACCTGAACATTTAGATAATTAGTTAATGTTTACATATGGTAACTGCTGTTGAAACTCCTCATTCATTCATTCAATATTTATTGGGTACTCTGTGACAGACCCTGTGCTAGGTGTGGGGGATACAACAGAGAGAAGAATCGGGTATGGCTTCTGCCCCCTGGAGCTTAGACTACAGTGGGAGCAGACAATATAAAAAATCAAAGATCCTGGGGGATGAGCAGGTTAGCCTGACCAGGAGGCAAGTGTGGCTGGAACAGATAAAGAGAGGGGAGTGGGGTGAGCTGTGGTTGGAGCAAGGTTGGGTCCAGGCCAGGGAGGGCCTTGTCAGCCATGTTGAGAAGTTCTGTCTCTCCAGTCAGGGCTCTTTCAACATATTCCTTTTTAAACAAATGTGCTTATCACTGTGTACAATGACTACTTGGTATTGTTTCCTAATGATATACATATACTGAAGGATTTACTACTTAGGTAAACTTGAATAATCTAAACTTTTTTTTTAATATAATTTATTGTCAAGTTGGCTAACAGCGTATACAGTGTGCTCTTGGCTTTGGGGGTAGATTCCCGTGATTCATCGCTTACATACAACACCCAGTGCTCACAATATTAATCCAAATTTCAATCAGTACCCTCCTTGACCTATAACTTTTATTAATAGGAATTCTACATCTGGAAATTCGTCTTACATATGGACACACACATTCATATGTTATACGCATATACATATTACAGTTGCGGAACAATGTGGAAGAGAGCACATTTCAAAATTATATAAATGGGTGTTTATACATGTATGCGATAAAAATCTGTCATATTCTAAATTGGTTACATCTGAGGAATAGGAACTTTATTTCTGTTACATACTTTTGAATTAAAAATTTTTTACAGTGAACATAAATTTTTATTTCAAAAATATATAAAAGCAGAAAAATAGTATAATCAATATAAATCCCATCATTTAAATATTTTGCCAAATTTTTATATATTTAGAACAGTCTTCTCTTGCCTCTTCTTTTGCTATTGACTTGTTGAAGAAACAAGGTCAGTCGTCCTAAAGGATGTCCCACATTCTGGATTTGGTTGTTTCCACTTTTTCTTTCCCCATATTTCTTGTAAATTGGAAATTTGATCTAAGGTCCTGAATAGATTAAGGATCAATGTTTTTGTCAACAGGAGCCATATGGTTTGGTTCTTTTACTTTTAGTAATGCTAACATTGATCAGTGGGTTTTCCAATGTGAAGTTGTGTTTCCCCTACAACCAACAAATAATCTGTGAAGAGATACTTTGGCAGCCAGTTCGTCATCAATCTTTTCATCTCATGGTTTTGTTGCCTGAATCATTTTCATGAAATATTGTGATCTTCTATCTTTTCTTCTATGCGTATTAACTGAAATTCTGAAAAAATGGGCTTTCTCTCATCAACAGATGTTGTTTACAGTATTTTTCTAAAAACTTACTTTAAAAAAGATATCCAATTATTAGAATTGTTGCGTCTTCCTTTTTAGACTGAGTCTGTGGCAGGCAGAGAGACCGTTAAGAATGAGACGACAGGCCCAAAACACAGTTATCTGTGCCAAGCCCCACATCAGCAAACCAAGAGTCCATACCCAACCTAACTGCAGTCTCAGCCTCTTCTAGGAATATAATCTTAACCAGGAGTCTGGAATTTCCTAGCTGTACTAGTGAGGTAGTCTGATAGACCCCAGCCTTCCCCCAAAGGACAGCGAATTTTTCTGAAATAATCCTTTCGTTTATGACTTCATGCCCCACCTCCTTTCTGCCTTGCGAAGCTTGTTTCTTTCTGCATTTCTTCGGATCTCCTTTCTATTTGCCAAATGGAATGCTGCCCCAACGTTGAATAAAGCCAATGAAATCTTCCAATACAGTCAGCTATATTTTAATGCCACGCTGGACTGTTTTGTATTCTTAATGCTTAGTAAAGTCCTGGTACACAGGATGCATTTACTAAACTAAACTAATAAGTCACTGTGCCCACTCAAAGATCTGATGTGCCTCTCCAAATGGATCCGCTGGACCATAGATTATTCTTTAGTTAACCTCAGAGTTAATTTAAATGAAATCTTGTAAATTAAGTCCACCATTCAAAGACACAAAAAATGAAAAGCTTGCTACCATAAAGTTTTTATTTGCAATTCAAAGTGAGAAAAATATTTTATCCTTAGGTGGATTATCCTAGCAACTTTGGATGACTATCTTTGTCAATCATTCATAAGGGGGACAAAATACTTTATCACGTCAATGTTTTCAATGGGGAAAAATCTCTAGAACTTGGAAAACAAATGTTCTTTGGCCAGTTCCTTAAAACAAATTTTTTTTTTCCGGGGCGCCTGAGTGGCTCAGTCGGTTAAGCGTCCGACTTCGGCTCATGATCTCACCGTTCCTGAGTCAAGTCCCTCCCCAGCTCTGTGCTGATAGCTCAGAGCCTGGAGCCCGATTTGGATTCTGTGTCTCACTCTGTCAGCGCCCCCGCCGCTTGCACTCTGTCTCTCGCATTGTCTCAAAAATAAATAAACATTAAAAAAATTCCTTCCTAACTTTAAACAATACTTAATAAAATACAACTCTGAATTATGTTTGATTGGCTCGTTCACATGCGTTAAACGAATCAAAATTACACAGGCACGAAAGGCCGGGCATCGCCTTCCGACCCGCTCAGGTCTGGGCGGGAGGGGGCGCTGTTTTTCCTAGAAGGCCCAGGGCTGGGCCCTTGCGCGCTCTGGACGGGGGAGGAGGCCCCACGCGGCGTTCGCCCCCCCTTAAGCGCCTCAGCTTCTCTTCCAGGACGAGCTCCCGCGCTCCGGTGTTCCCCGGCCACCCCTTCCCGACCCGGGAAGCACCGGGGAGCCCGCCTCCGCCGCCCGTTCCAGCTCCACGCCGGAGCCCCGGCTTCCGAGGTACCCCGTCGGCCTCCGTTCTTTCTCCTCCCGCGCCCTGACAAGCCCCTCCCCCGAGTCGTTCCCACCCCTCGCGTCAGGGGCTCCCAAACAGCCCTCCGGTACCCCTCGCCTGCGCCGGAGGTGCCCAGCGCGCTCGTCTCTCACGGCCCGAGCCGCCCCGCCCTTCCGCCGGAGCGCCCCTCCGCCCGCCCACCCGCTTCCCGTAGGCTCCGCGGGGCCCCGGCGCGCCCGCCTCCATCTGATTGGCTTAAGCGCGTGTCGCTCCAGGGTCCCGAGCCCGCCATTGGCGGGTTTCCCTCTCAGTCGCGTCACGCTGCCCGTGTGGATTACAGCCGAGTGCGGAGCGCGAGGAACCGCCAGGGTGTGTGTCGCAGCCGCTCGTCTTCGGCGGTTTGCTAGGCTATTATGGCGGCGGCGGCGGCGGCGGCGGCTGCAGCGGTTGCGGAGGAAGCGAGCGTGACCGCAGCTGTTTCAGGTGCCGACAGCAATGGTGAGTCTCCTGAAGTCGAAGGAGAAGGTGTTGGAGCAGTGGGCCAAGAGAAGGACGCAGCCACGAAAGGAGCGGAGGCCGTTGGAGACAGCGAGGAGGACGGGGAGGATGTGTTCGAGGTGGAAAAGATACTGGACATGAAGACGGAGGGGGTACGTGGGCGCCGGGGGAGGCGAGGCTGGGCGTGCAGGGCTTGAAGTGCAGAAGCGGGGAGCGATGGGAGTTCTGTAGAGGGTTGCCGCGCGGAAACGCGAAGCCCTCCCCGAATTCACAAGGTGGAAAAGCTTGTGCAGACACACGACGTAGGCGGGGGAAAGGAACGTGACATCCAGAGCCGACGCAAGCGCGCGCACGTTGGGAGCCCTGCGCTGACAACCCTGGACGGACTCTTGGGCTGTCTGTGGCGGTGAGGGTACGTTTCAAGAAGTTTGAAAGGGTTGTGTGGCCAGAAGAGAGGAAGCAGTGTAGGGTGCGGTGTGTGAGTATCAAGGGGGCCGACCGTTGGTGAAGGATTTGTCACGGTCATCAGTGTTTAGATAACTGATTGGGGCCACTGCTCAGTGCTGGAAAGGAGTGACACTGAAATCGTGCCGCTTCTCATAGTCCGTCGTCCACGCCATCGTCTCAGTGTTTTCCAAGGCCGTGATCGATTTTCTGCTTTCAGATCGTTCAGATCTTCTCGTGCTCAGAATCGCGTCCAGGAGGTGGCATTTAAAGGTCTCCAAAGCCTGACCATTCTCTTTTCTCTCTTCTTGCATATTATGTGATTGTAGCCACACAGTAATACGTGAAATTCTTCATCACACTTGGCGCTTACTGTTCTCTTTCTCCTCAGTCTCTCAGGTCTTTCTCTCTCTCCCGGAGTCAGTTTGTCTGTGAAATCCTTTTTTGACCCTGGTCGCTGCAGAGTGAGGTGCTTCTTCATTTATGCCCTTGTAACACTTTGTTAAGACCTCTGTTTTAGCACTTAAAGCACTAATCTTTATATATGTCTGCCTCTCCTGCTAGGTTTAGGCTCCTTTAATACAGGAAATATGATTATTATTACTTTTTGTATCAGTGGTACTCAATCCACTGCCTGTCGTGCAGTAAGTGCTTTGTGTATGTCACATTATTGAATGAGTGAACGAATCATGGACTGCAGGCTGGGGTGAAGGAGAGAGGGTGGAAGGATGGACAATAAGGAAACTAGTAACTAATTTGTCTCAGTAGGTAAGTGTGAGATGACCAAAGGTCCCATATCGTAGTCGGATCGGTATGTTCTTTTTATTGTCTGTTATTTTCTATTTGTCACGTGCTACTTTGTGTTAATTTTTTTGTCCATTCATTCAGCAAACTTTTTTTTTTTAAATTACATATTTTGTGCTAGGTGCAGTGTTAAGTTCTGAGGATATAGAGATGAATTGTAGCGTACACGGTTGCTTACACTGAAAAGTTCTGGTTATTGAGGATAAATAATTGAAGTCTAATGCCAATATTATTGGTAGTTGCAGTACAGTAAACGTAGGAACTTTGTATAGTTTTCCCAAATATATTACAAAAGCGCCTTGATGAGAGTAGAGCCAGTCTTTTTAAAAATTTTTTAATGTTCATTTATTTTGAGAGAGAGAGAGAGAGAGAGCGTGAACAGGGGAGGAGCAGAGAGAGAGGGAGACACAGACTCTGAAGCAGGCTCCAGGCTCTGAGCTGTCAGCACAGTGCCTCACGCAGGGCTCGAACCCACAAACCACAAGATTATGATCTGAGCTGAAGTCGGATGCTTAACCAACTGAGCCACCCAGATGCCCCAAGAGAATAGAGCCAATCTTAAACTGTTTTTGTATCACCTTCATTTAATACAAGTGCTTGGCACATATAAGATATTTAGAAAAATCTGGGCACCTGGGTGGCTCAGTTGGTTAAGCATCCGACTCTTGATTTCAGTTCAGGTTGTCATCTCCTGTTTCCTGAGCCCTATGTAGGGCTCTGCACTGACAGTGGAGAGCCAGCTCGGGATTCTCTCTCTCCCTCTCTGTCTCTCTGCCCCTCCCCCCGCCTTAAACCAATTAAATAAACCTTTAAAAAAAGATATTTAGAAAAATATTTGGTTAAGAGAGTAAAAGCTTTAGAATTAAGATGATTCACCTATTTGGTAGAATATTTTTTAATGTATTTTAATTCCAATATAGTTAAGTTCATACAGTATTTAATATATCTGGTCCCAAAGAATTGTAGGCTCTATACCCAAAGTCTCATATTCTAGTCAAAAGTGGATGAAACTAAGAAGCTTAAGTGTTTAAGACATTAAGGGTACAATTGGGTGAGAATTCTAGTTTTCAGGGCCTTGTGTTTTTAGATGCTCTTGCAAGTGAGTGATTTGTAAGATGAAAAGTATTAACTCAGCAGAACAGGACTGTGGCAGTTACTTTAGAAGTACTGCTGAGTGAGCCAGCCAGTTGAAAAACAAAAGGGTCCTGGTAGCAGTTTGTTTGGCCTTCTTATAATCTTGTCGTCTATGGTCAGACTGTGCTATCCTGATAGATAGACTAAGACCATCATTATGATGAGGGTTGGCTTGGAGGAACAGCATCAGTGCTAAATTTATATATAAATTTATATATTGGCGTTTATATATTCTTTCAGTTTATTGCTAACTAATTTTTTGTATGTTTTCAGAAGAATTAAATGAATCTGACAAATCTTGGGTTTTACCTTCAATTTTGAATAGGAGTCATTTTTATATAATAAAAAACTGGCATTTTTTTAGTGCCAGTTTATGGGCATTTGATTTGATTTTGTAGTGTATAAGTAAATACTTTAGTTACACAATTCAGTGAATTATCACAAAGCCAACACCTGTGTAACCTCCACCCAAATGAGGAAATATTAGACTGCCATCCCTAAAAACCTCTTTTGAATCCCCTTTTCGATCAGTACCCCCATCCTCACCCAGAATCATTGTCCTGAATTATTATATGATAATAGGTTTCGTGCTTTGCTTTGTAATTTTTCCATCTAAGGATGCATTCCTTGACACTTGAGTGTCTTTTTACCTGTTTTTTTCTTTCTCTCTTTCTTTCTTTCCTTCTTTCTTTCTTTTCATACTTTCTTTTCATTTATTTATTGATTTATTAGTTTATTTATTTATTTTGAGAGAGAGTGTGTGCTGGAGGGGGGGAGAGAGAGAGAGAGAGAGAGAGAGAGAGAGAGAGAGAGAATCCCAAGCAGGTTCTGCACTGTCAGCACGTGGAGCCCAATGCGGTGCTCGAACTCACCAACTGTGAGATCATGACCTGAGCCGAAATCTGTAGTCAGACACTGAACCAGCTGAGCCCAGGTGCCCCTTTTTCTTTCCTTTAAATGGAATTTCACAATATTTATTTTGTGTGTCTGGGTTTTTCCCTCAACAATATCTTTGTGAGATTTAATCCATGTTGTGTGGAGCTGTATTTTATTTCATTTTCATTGCTGCACATTATTCGGGTGCATGTATATATTACAGCCTATCTTTTCTCCTACTGTTAAGGGGCATTTGGATTGTTTCCAGGTTTTGGCTGTTACGAATAATGCTTCTGTGATGAACATGTCTCCTGATACATTGTGTACATGTTTCCCTTGGTTATAAACACTAAATGGAATTGTTCAGACTTAAGGGACACAGGTATCTTCAACGTTCAGTGGAAACTATTTTTGAAAGCGGTTGTACCAATTTACACTATTACTAATGGTTTATGAGATTCCCTTTTGTTTTGCATTCTGTCAGCACTTGATATGGTCAGACTTTTTATTTCTAGCCAGTTCTGATGGGTTCATGATGGTATTTCCTACTTTTAATTTGTATTTTTCTGATCCTACGTTAGTAATCAGTGTTGAAATCATTGAGCATCTTTTCATATACTTAATGGAGATTTAGTTATCCTTTTTTATGAAATGTCTTTCTACTGGGTTGTCTGTCTTTATTGATTTGTTGAAACGTATTTTGATTCATACCTTTTGTTGGTGATGTGAGCAGATCTCTTTCCCTGCTATCTTTTGATGAACAGTTTATATAGTTAATGTAAGGAAACTTTGTCGTGATGTTGAGTGCTTTTTATGTTTGGTTTGAGAAATCTTTCTCTACCCTAGATATTCTCTATAATTTTTTTTCTAGGTGCTCTTTTGTTTTCCCTTTCAGATTTTATGTTTAACACTTCACTTAGAATTGATTTTGTGCATAGTGTAACGTGGGGGTCATGTTTCATTGAGCAGATCTTTCTTATTTTTCTCTAACAATGCTTTATAGATTTTAGAATCGACTTGCCAATTTCCTTACATAAAAACTTGGGATTTTTATTGGAATTTGCATTGAATCTGTGGATAAATTTAGGATCAGTTTAATTTCTTTCAGTAATGTCTTATAGTTTTCTGTGTTGAGGTCTTAAACATCTTTTATTAAATATATTTTTAAGTAGGGGCACCTGGCTGGCTCAGTCGGTTAAGCATCCAACTTCGGCTCAGGTCATGATCTCATGGTCCGTGAGTTTGAGCCCCACATCGGGCTCTGTGCTGACAGCTCAGAGCCTGGAACCTGCTTCAGATTCTGTGTCTCCCTCTGGCCCTCCCCTGCTCATGCTCTGTCTCACTCTCTCTCTCAAAAATAAATAAACATTAAAAAAATTTTTTTTAATGTATTTTTAGGTATATTTGATATTTTTGATGCAATAGTAGTCTTTTTGAAAATTCCATTGTGTTTGTTGCTCATATACAGAAATACATTTGATTTATGCGTATGTGCCCTCAGTTGGTTAAAGAAATTCCCTTCTATCTCTAGTTACTAAATAATTTTATGAATGGGTGTTGAATTTCATTAAAATTTTTTTTCTGCATCTGTCAAGGTGGTCACATAATTTTTCTCTTTTAAGTTTACTTATTTATTTTGAGAAAGAGACTGTGAGCAGGGGAGGGGCAGTGAGAGAGAGAGGGAGAGGGAGAGGGAGAGAATCCCAAGCAGGCTCCATGCTGTCAGTGCAGAGCCCAATGTGGGGCCTGAACCCACAAACTGAGATCATGACCTGAGCCCAAACCATGAGTCAGATGCTTAACCGACTAAGCCACCCAGGCTCCTCTCTAACATCTTGAGGTGGATACATAGCTAACTGTTTTTCAGCCTTTGTTTTTTTTCAAATCATATGCCTTTAGTACTATAAATTATCCTCTGATCTTAGTTTAGGTGCAACTCATAAATTATGTTTGTACTATGTTTTCATTCAGGTAAAAATATTTTCCAATAGCTATAACTTACGTGTAAATACATTGCTTAATTTCTAAACATTTGAGAGTATTACTAATATTCCATGTGCTTAAAAAAATTTTAATTTTAGGGGCGCCTGGGTGGCGCAGTCAGTTGAGCGTCCGACTTCAGCCAGGTCACAATCTCGTGGTCCGTGAGTTCGAGCCCCGCGTCAGGCTCTGGGCTGATGGCTCAGAGCCTGGAGCCTGTTTCCGATTCTGTGTCTCCCTCTCTCTCTGCCCCTCCCCCGTTCATGCTCTGTCTCTCTCTGTCCCAAAAATAAATAAAAAACATTGAAAAAAAATTTCTTTTTTAATTTTTAATTTTAACTGACATATATCTATATATTGTTTAACGTTGAATATTTGCTTGATTAATTGGGTTATTTAAAATCTATAATATTGTTGCCAGCAAGCAAGGCAGCCATTACTTAGGAAGTTGAAGCTAGAAATATGGGAAACTAATTTGAGAATAATTTACATGTATGAGCTGTTCTCAGTTTCATATTCCTCATATTATTGATTATTGTAACATTTTTTATGACGTGTTCCTTGTCGACTTTAAAGCAACACTAAAACAGACCAGATATTTTTACTTCTATTATTAACACATTTGGAATCCATTGAAATGCTTAATTACAGTTGCACTTTTTTTTTTTGTTTTTTAACATTTCATGCTTATAATACACTGGGACCCATTGGCCTTGAGACTTTATGTATGCACTTTTGGAGGATAGGAGGACTGTCTTCTGCCTTTTTGGTTTGGCTCACTGAGTAAGCTAAAAGAAAACTTGGCTACCAAGAAAATAGACTGTTTCTGGCATTTTGAAGATAAATTTATCATGAAATTTAATATATGGCAAAGCCCTGGGCAATATTTGGATCTACAGGATTTCTGTAAAAGAACATATAGTTCATGGATTTAATCTGTTTTCTATACTGTTGTATCTCTAAGACTCAAAGTTCCTAACATATAGTGACTTTCAATAAATATTTGTTCAATGAATGAATGAAACAAAACTGCTGAAATAAAGATCAATAACAGTTATTAACAAATGAAATCTGGAGCTAGAATTGAGATGTGCTACTTAATACTTGAGAATGGTTGTTGATGCACTTACTCTCATTGACCAGGTTGAGCTTAATTGACAGCTAGCACTAAATTTATAACTGTGTTCAATGTAGAAGTAAATGTTTACTGGTTTTTTTTACTGTTGTTTTTTTTTTTTTAGTCATCAGAAAAGTTGTAAGAATTATATATAGCCTCACATATACCTTCGTGCATATCCCCCAGTTGTTAATACTGATTTTGTCTTTTTCCTCTATTTATATACATTTTTTTCTGTCCCATTTGAAGGTAAATAAGGGTTTAAAAGCTACATTGAGTAGCAGATACTACTGTTTCTATGTACACATAAAAATAATGGGGCACAAGCATCGGTCCCTTCATCCTGTTATGTAACTGACCCATCAAACTGTATCAGTTTAGACTTAGTTATTATTTTAAGATTATGAGGCTTATCTTTAAAAGTTAAGTTGCACTTTTTTCCCATTATTTCTTAGTTTTCAATTCTACCAGTTTCCAATCCAAGACCGATGTTGGTCTTTCTACAGGTGGCAGAATGATTGAAAGGCAGTGTAGGTATGTTGAAGGGTAAAGGGAGAGGGACCAGCACTTGGCCTTTGGTTTGGAAAGTTTATTGCCTCGGTGGTTGTGTGAATAACATCAGGCAGGTGTTAAGTGTAAGATAGAATAGTGCTCTGCAGGTCAAGTGGAAAACTATTTCATCTATTCTTGCTTCTCAGTGAGATTGGATATTGAGCAGAAAAGATAAACCAGAAATCTGGAGGAGCAAAAATTTGGAATATATGTGATAAAGACTTTTTTTAATGTTTACTTATTTTTGAGAGAGTGAGCATGAACGGGGGAGGGGCAGAAAGAGAAGGAGACAGAGGACCTGAAGCAGGCTCTCCACTGACAGCTGAAACCACAAACGGTATTCAAACTCACGAACCCGTGAGATCATAACCTGAGCTGAAATCAAGAGTCAGACCCTTACCCAGCTGACCCACCCAAGCACCCCAATGTATGATAAAGATTTGATAGCCATAAAACATTAAAAAGAAAAATTATTATAAATGAGAAAATGGGCAAACGACAATAGGTAATTTTTAAGTCTTGTTTATTGTAGTTTCACATACATGTTTCTCTATTTATGTATCTTAAAATTTGCCATCTTAATGTTTTTAAGGGCAAATGCATAGAGACAGAAGAGTCGTTAAGTACATTTGGGTAGAAACGCTGCCATCACCACTGTCCATCTCTAGAACTTTTTCATCTTTCCAAATGAAACTGTCCCTATTAAACAATAATTCTCCTCCCCTGAACCCCTGGTATCCACCATTCTCCCTTCTGTCTCGGTGAATCTGCTAATTCAGGTACTTAATGTAAGTGGAATCATGCAATATTTGTCCTTCTGTTTCTGGCTTATTTCACCAACCGTAGTATTTTTAGGGTTCATCCATCTTATAGAATGTGTCAGAATTTCCTTCGCTTTTAAGACTGCATAATGTTTCATTGTATGTGTATACCACATTTTGTTTATCCATTTATCTGTTGAAGGACACTTGGATTATTTCCATTTTTTGGCTGTTGTGAACAGTACACTACTGGACATGGTTGAATGAATACTTGTTTGAATTCCTGTTTTCAGTTCTTTTGGGTGTATACCCAGCAGTGGAATTATCGGGCCATAAGGTAATTCTGTTTAACTTTTTGAAGAATTGCCAACTGTTTTCCACAGCAGCTGTAACATTTTACATTCCTACCACTAATGTTAGAAGGTTCTAATTTCTCCCCATTCTCACACACATTTGTTTTACATGTTTTTGCTTCGTGTAATATACCCATCTAGTAACTGGTGTGAAATAGTGTCTCATGGGTTTTATTTGCGTTTCCCTAAGGACTAATGGTGATAAGCATCTTTTCATATGCTTATTGGCCATTTGTATATCGTGTTTAGAAAAATGTTTGGTCAAGTCCTTTCCCCTTTTTAAGTGGGTTGTTTGCCTATTTTTCTGTTTCGTTTCTTAGTTTTTTCTTTGTCTTATTTTTGAATTATAGGAATTGTTTACATATTGTGGATATTAATCCTTTTTCAGATGCGACTTGTAAATATTTTCTTCAGTTCTATAGGTTGCCTTTTCACTATGTTGATAATGTCCTTTGATGCACAAAAGTTTTTAATTTTGATGAACTCCTCTCACCTATTTTTGTTTTTGTTTTTGGAGTTAAATTCAAGAATGCATTGTCAAATCCAAGGTCCTGAAGATTTACCCCTATGTTTTCTTCTAAAAATTTTATGGTTTCATTTCTTAAATTTAGGTCTGATTCATTTTGAGTTAATTTTTGTATATGGTATGAGGTAGGGTCCAGCTTCCTTTTTTGGGGGGGAAATCCAGTTGTTTCAGCACAATTTGTTTCCATATTGGACTTGACACCCTTATCAAAAATCAGTAGGCCAGGGAGCCTGGGTGGCTCAGTTGGTTGGGCGTCCGACTTTGGCTCAGGTGATGATCTCACCGTCTGTGGGGTTTGAGCCCCGCATTGGGCTCTGTGCTGACAGCTCAGAACCTGGAGCCTGCTTCAGATTCTGTCTCCCTCTCTCTCTGCCCCTCCCCCGCTCAAGCTCTGTCTCTGTCTCTCTCAAAAATAAATAAACATTAAAAAAAATTTTTTTTAGGGGCGCCTGGGTGGCGCAGTCGGTTAAGCGTCCGACTTCAGCCAGGTCACAATCTCGCGGTCCGTGAGTTCGAGCCCCGCGTCGGGCTCTGGGCTGATGGCTCAGAGCCTGGAGCCTGTTTCCGATTCTGTGTCTCCCTCTCTCTCTCTGCCCCTCCCCTGTTCATGCTCTGTCTCTCTCTGTCCCAAAAATAAATAAACGTTGAAAAAAAAAATTAAAAAAAAAATTTTTTTTAGAAATCAGTAGGTCGTAGATGTATGGGTTCATTTTTGGATTTTTCTGTGTCTGTCCTGATGCCAGTACCATACTGTTTCGATCACTGCAGCTTTGTAGTAAGTTTGTAAGTCTTTTACCTTGTTGGTTAAATTTATTCCTAAGTGTTTTATTCTTTTAGGTGCTGTTATAAATGGAATTGTTTTCTTAATTTCCTTTTTGGGAGGAGTTTGGGAAGATGGTGGAGTAGGAGGACCCAGAGCTCACCCCGTCCCATATTTACAACTAGATAACGTCTACATCCAAGTTAGTAAACTGGAGAGCAATCTGAAGACAGGCGGAAGAAATTCCACAACTAAATATAGAGAAGAAGCTGCATCTGAAAGGTTAAAAAGGTCAAAAAGGCAGAGAGAGGCTGCCTGCAGGAGAGAGGGAGCTGCATTGCATGGAGAGAGCAGAGAAGTGGGCCCTCACACCAGGGACCTCACTCGGGGAAAACTAATCCCCATAACATTAAAAACCAGAGGAGTCGAGTTCTGTGAGTTTATAAAACCAGTGGGGCTTGAAACCTGGAACTGCACTGGCCACTAGGGTGAGTGATAGCTAGGTGGCCACCCGTAAAGAGACAGCAACTTTTGTGGAGAGGCAACATAAAAACAGCATGCATACAACACTGGGGGCATAGAGGAGACAGATCTGTTCATACTGATTTTGGACCATGTTGGGGGACTTCTTTGAAAACAAAGGAGCTGGCAGGTGCTCTTTTCCTCTCCACTCCCACCAGCCTAAACTCAGAGCCACCTATAGGAGGCAGAGCTGCACAAACACTTGCTACCTAATGTGCTAGCAGTATGCCATGCCCATGATTTCTCCTGAGAACTCGCCCGCTCCAGGCCTGCTAACCTTGGTCCTGGACTCAGGATGAATTTTGTTAAAGCCACGCACGCTCACTCCAATACCTAGCATATTGCACCCAGCCACGTGCTCCCACCCACTCTCGTGCACCAGGCCCACACATACCCAGCTATCATCATGCACCATGCCAGCCTTTTAGCCCCTGCCACCTCCATGCACAGCTCCCAGCTGCTATAGCACTTCAAGGAATCCAGCATTGGACTAGTGGCCCAACCCAAAATTTGCTAACAACATCATCCTGCTCCCAAGCTCCCTGATGGGCATGCCCCGCTCAGAGCTGTCTTGCCTGGGTCCCACTAACACCAGAGAGCAGGCACAGCCCACAAAGGTAGAGAGTCAGTGCAAACAATTGCACTGAAAGGAAATGTGACTAAGATACAACAGCCAAGTATAAGCAACATACAATACTCTCTAAGTGCCAGGTTCTGGTGAACAGGGGACACTGCACTGCAGGGCACACCAGGACATCCTCTTCTTTTTTTTTTTTTTTTTTTTTTAATTTTTTTTTTCAACGTTTATTTATTTTTGCGACAGAGAGAGACAGAGCATGAACGGGGGAGGGGCAGAGAGAGAGGGAGACACAGAATCGGAAATAGGCTCCAGGCTCTGAGCCATCAGCCCAGAGCCTGACGCGGGGCTCGAACTCACGGACCGCGAGATCGTGACCTGGCTGAAGTCGGACGCTTAACCGACTGCGCCACCCAGGCGCCCCTAGGACATCCTCTTCATAAAGTTACTGCTTTCAAGAGTAGAAGGCATAGCTGACTTTCGTGTGTGTGTGTGTGTGTGTGTGTGTGTGTGTGTGTGTGTGTGTATGTATTCATATAATATAATTTATTGTCAAATTGGTTTCCTTACAACACCCAGTGCTCATCCCAACAGGTGCCCTCCTCAATGCCCATCACCCGCTTTTCCCTCTCCCCGACCCCCCATCAACCCTCAGTTTGTTCTCAGTATTTGAGTCTCTTATGGTTTTCCTCCTTACCTCTCTCTAACTTTTTTTCCCCTCTTCCCCTCCCCCATGGTCTTCTCTTAAGTTTCTCAGGATCCACATATGAGTGAAAATATATGGTATCTATCTTTCTCTGACTGACTTATTTCACTTAGCATAATACTCTCCAGTTCCATCCATGTTGCTACAAATAGCCAGATTTCATTCTTTCTCATTGCCAAGTAGTAGTTCATTGTATATATAAAATTGCTGACTTTCTTAACAGAAACAGAGAGGCAGACAAAATGAGGACATAGAAATTTATCCAAAATGAAAAAACAGTACAAGGCTATGGTCAGAGATCTAAGCAAAGCATATATGACATGCCTAATAGAGAATTTAAAGCAGTGATCATAAGTATACTCACTTGACTTGAGAAAAGAGTGGAAGACATGAGTGATACCCTTAACACAGAGATAAGGAATAACATAGCAAAGATAAAGGGCTTAAATAAACAAGTGAGAAACACACTTGATGAAATGAATAGCAGTATGGAAGAAGCAGAGAAACAAATTCATGACCTAGAAGACCGTAATGGAAAGTAACTAAGTTGAACAAAAGCCAGAAGGAGAATTACACAAAACAAGAATAGACTTAGGGAGGCTCCTGTGTGGCTCATGTGGTTGAGTATCTGACTCGATTTTGGCTCAGATCATGATCCCAGGATCATGGTATCAAGCCCCACGTTGGGCTCTGTGCTGACCATGGATTCTCTCTCTCCTTCTGCTATTCTCCCCTGTTTACAATCTCTCTCTAAAAACATAATAAAATTAAATTTAAGAACAGCTTAATGGAGCACCTGGGTGGCTCAGTCAGTTAAGCGTCTGACTTTGGGTCAGGTCATGATCTCGCAGTTTGTGAGTTCGAGCCCCACATTGGGCCCTGTACTGGGAGCTCGGAGCCTGGAGCCTGTTTCAGATTCTGTGTCTCCCTCTCTTTCTGTTCCTCCCTCGCTCACACTCTGTCTCTGTCTCTCTCTCTCAAAAATAGGTAAAGACAAAAAAAAGAATAGCTTAGGGAACTCAGTGACACCATCAATCAATATTAATGTTATAGGAGTCTCAGAAGAAGAAGGGAGAGAAAAGGGGGCAGAGATTTTATTTAATGAAATAAAAGCTGAAAACTTCCCTAATCTGGGAAAAGAAACCAATATCCATATCCAGGAGGCACAGAGGACTTCCATCAAAATCAACAAAGCAGATTCATGCCAACACATACTGTAATTAAATTTGCAAAATACAGTGATAAAGAAAAAATTTTTAAAGCAGCAACACACAAGTCAGTAACTTACAAAGGAAAGCCCATAAGGCTAGTGGGAGATTTTTCAGCAGAAACTTGGCAAGCTGGTAGGGAGTGGCACGATGTATTCAATGTGGTGAATGGGAAGAATCTGCAGCCAAGAATACCCTGTCCAGCAAGGGTATCATTCAGAATAGGAGAGTTTCCTGGGCAATAAATAAATAAATAAATAATCACTAAACCAGCCCTGAAAGAACTGTTAAAGAGGACTCTTTGAAAAGATAGACCAGGGGCGCCTGGGTGGCGCAGTCGGTTAAGCATCCGACTTCAGCCAGGTCACGATCTCGCGGTCCGTGAGTTCAAGCCCCGCGTCGGGCTCTGGGCTGATGGCTCAGAGCCTGGAGCCTGCTTCCGATTCTGTGTGTCCCTCTCTCTCTGCCCCTCCCCCGTTCATGCTCTGTCTCTGTCCCAAAAATAAATAAACGTTGAAAAAAAAAAATTAAAAAAAAAAAAAAAAGATAGACCAAAAGTGACAGTATAGAGGTATGAAACACAGTAAAAATGAATATTTCTTTTTTTTTATTTTTTATTAAATTTTTTTTTCAACGTTTATTTATTTTTGGGACAGAGAGAGACAGAGCATGAACGGGCGAGGGGCAGAGAGAGAGGGAGACACAGAATCGGAAACAGGCTCCAGGCTCTGAGCCATCAGCCCAGAGCCCGACGCGGGGCTCGAACTCACGGACCGCGAGATCGTGACCTGGCTGAAGTCGGACACTTAACCGACTGCGCCACCCAGGCGCCCCAAAAATGAATATTTCTATAAAAAATCAGTCAAGGAACTCATACACAAAAGAAAGGACGTAAGATATACTAATATATACTTAACCTACAATGTGGGGAGTAGAGGAGAGAAAATGAGCTCAAACTTAAATGACCATCAATTTAATATAGACTGCTATATGTAAAAGAGGTTATATACAAATCTAATGGGAACCATGTCAAAAACCACTAATAAACATACAAAAGAGAAAGAAATCTAAATATATCAGTAAAGAAAATCAACAAAACATGAAAGAAAGAAAAGATCAGAGAAAATCTTCAGAAACAACCACAAAATTAGCAATAGAATGTCAATAAATACATATTTACCAATAGTTACTTTGAATGTAAATAGACCAAACACTCCAATCAAAAGACATGGGATGACAGAATAGATAAAAGACCAAGAGTCATCTATATGTTGCCTACAAGAGACTTGTTTTAAACCTAAAGACATCTGCAGATTGGAAGTGAGGGAATGAGGAAACATCTGTCATGCAAATGGATATCAAGAGAAAGCTGGAGTAATGATACTTAGGTTGGAAAAAATAGACTTGGGAATAAAGACTGTAACAAGAAACAAAGACACTATATAATGGGACAATTGAACAAGAAGATACAACAGTTGTAAATATTTATGCACCCAGCTTGGAAGCGCCCATACATAAAACAGTAACAAACATAAAGGAACGAACCAATAATAATACAGTAATGGTAGCGGACTTTAACATCCCACATACATCAGTAGATCATCTAAACAGAAAATCAACAAGGAAACAATGGCTTTGATTGACACACTGGATCAGATGGATTTAACAGATAATTTCAGAATATTCCATCCTAAAAGAACAGAATACACATTCTTTTCAAGTGCACACAGAACATTCTCCAGAATAGATCGCATCAGCTCACAAAACCAGGCTCAACAAATTCAAGATCGAAGTTATACCATAAATCTTTTTGACCACAACACTATGAAACTGCAAGTCAGCCAGAAGAAAAAAAATCTAGAAAGACTACAAATACATGGAGGTTAAGTAACATGCTACTAAACAATGAATAGGTGAACCAGGAAATTAAAAAAAAAATTAAAAAGTACATGGAAACAAATGAAAATTGAAACATAACAGTCCAAGACCTCTGGGATGATGCAAAAGTAGTCCTAAGAGGGAAGTTTATAGCAATATGGGCCTACCTCAAGAAGCAAGAAAAATCTCAAATAAACAATTTAACCTTACGTCTAAAGAAGCTAGAAGAATAACAAAAAAGAAAGAAAGAAGAAAAAAACAGGAAGGAAATGATAAAGATTAGAGCAGAAATAAATGATACAGAAACTAAAAAGTAAAACCCAAAAGAACAGATCAATAAAACGAGGAGCTGGTTCTTTGGAAAAAGTAAAATTGATAAACTTCTAGCCAGAGATATCAAGAAAAAAAGAGAAAGGACTGAAATAAAAATCACAAATGAGATCAGAGAAGTAACAACTAACATGATAGTAATATAATCATAAGAGAATATTATGAAAAACTGTATGCCAACAAAATGGACACCCTAGAAAAAAATGGATAAATTCCTAGAAACATATAAGCCACTAAAACAGAAAGAAACAGAAATTTGAACAGTCCAATAGCCAGCAAAGAAATTGAGTTACTATTAAAAAATTTCCCAACAAACGAAAGTCTAGGACCTGGTGGCTTCATAGGAAAATTCTACTAAACATTTAAAGAGGAGTTAATACCTATTCTTCTCAAAACTATTCCACAAAATTAAAAAGGAAGGAAAACCTCCAAATTCATTCTGTGAGGCCAGCATTACCCTGATCCCAAAACCAGATAGACACCACTAAAAAAGAGAACTACAGACCTATATCCCTGATGAACACAGATACAAAAATTCTCAACAAAATACTAGGAAACCAGATCTAACAATACATTTAAAAAAAATCATTCACCGTGGTCAAGTGGGATTTATTCCTGGGTTGCAAGGGTTCAGTATTTGCAAATCAATCAACATGGTACATCACTTCAGTAAGAGAAAGGATAATGGGGCATCCCGGTGACTCAGTCAGTTGAGCATCTGACTCTTGATTTCAGCTCAGGTCATAATCTCATGATTTGTGGGATGAAGCCCCACAAAACTGTCTGTGCAGACAGCATGGAGCCTGCTTGAGATTCATTCTCTCTCTCTCTTTCTCTCTCTCTCTGTGTCTCCCCCACTCTCTCTCCCCCTTGCACATGCATGCATACTCTCTCTCTCTCAAAATAAACTTAAAAAAAAAAAAAAAAGAAAAGAACCTATAGGATCATTTTAATAGATGTAGAAAAAGCATTTGACAAAGTATAACATCTGTTCATGATAAAAACCCTCAACAAAGTAGGTTTAGAGGGAACATACTTCAATATGATAAAGGCCATATATGGAAAACCCACAACTGACATTATCCTTAATGGGGAAAAACAGAGCTTCTTCCTAAGGTCATGAATAAGACAAGGATGTCCACTCTCACCACTTTTATTCAACATAGTACTGGAAGTCCTAGCCACAGCAATCAGACAATAAAAAGAAATGAAAGCCATCCAAATTGGTAAGGAAGTAGTAAAATTTTCACTATTTGCAGATAACATGATATTCTATACAGAAAACCCCCAAAGACTCCACCAAAAAACTGCTAGAACTGATAAACGAATTTGGTAAAGTCACAGGATACAAAATCAATGTACAGAAATCTGTTGCATTTCTGTACACCAGTAGTGAAGTGGCAGAAAGAGAAATTAAGAAAATGATCCCATTTACAGTTGCACCAAAAATAATAAAATTCCTTGGAATAAACCTAACCAAAGAGGTGAAAGACCTGTACTCTGAAAACTATAAAACTCTGATGAAAGAAATTGAAGATGACACAAAGAAGCGGAAAGACATTCCTGCTCATAGATTGGAAGAATAAATATTGTTAAAGTGTCTGTACTACCCAAAGCAGTCTACACATTTAATGTAATCTCTGTCAAAATACCAATAGCATTTTTCATGGAACCTAGGACAGAAAATCCTAAAGTTTGTATGGAACCACAGAAGACCCCGAATAACCAAAGGAGTCTTGGGGGGAAAAAAAGAACGAAAAAAAGCAAGGCTAAAGGCCTCACAATTCTGGACTTCAAGTTATATTACAAAGCTGTAGTAGTCAACAGTATGGTACTGGGACAAAAATAGACACATAGATCAATGGAATAGAAAACCCAGAAGTAAACCTACAATTATATGGTGATTAATCTTTTTTTTTTTAATTGTTTTTTTTTTAACGTTTATTTATTTTTGAGACAGAAGGAGGCAGAGCATGAACGGGGGAGGGTCAGAGAGAGAGGGAGACACAGAATCGGAAGCAGGCTCCAGGCTCTGGGCCATCATCAGCCCAGAGCCCGACGCGGGGCTCGAACTCACGGACCGTGAGATCGTGACCTGAGCTGAAGTCAGACGCTTAACCGACTGAGCCACCCAGGCGCCCCATATGGTGATTAATCTTTGACAAAGCAGGAAAGAACCTCCAATGGGAAAAGGACAGCCTCTTAACTGTTACATGGTCAATTAATCTTTGACAAAGCAGGAAAGAATATCCATTGGGAAAAGGACAGTCTCTTCAACAAATGGGGAAATGGGGGGGGGGGGAGGGAGAGGAAAACTGGAACACTTTCTTACACCATACAGGAAAAAAAAAAAAATCAAAATGAATTGAAGACCTAAATGTGATACCTGAAACCATAAAAATCCTAGAAGAGAGCACAGGTAGTAATTTCTCTGACATCGGCCATAGCAACTTTTTTCTAGATCTATCCCCTAAGGCAAGGGAAACAAAAGCAAAAAACTATTGGGACTACATCAAAATAAAAAGCTTCTGCACAGTGAAGGAACAATCAACAAAACTAAAAGGTAACCTACAGAATGGGAGAAGATATTTGCAAATGACATATCTAATAAAGGGTTACTATCCAAAATATATAAAGAACTTCTAAAACTCAACACCCAAAAACAATCCAGTTAAGAAATAAATAGAAGACACGAACAGACATTTTTGCAAAGAAGATATACAGATAGCCACAGACACATGAAAAGATGCCTGTCATCACTTATCATCAGGGAAATGAAAATCGAAACTACAATGAGATATCACCTTACATCTATCAGAGTGGCTAAAATCAATAACCCAAGAAACAACAGGTGTTGGCGAGGATGTAGAGAAAAAGGAACCCTCTTGTGTTGTTATCGGGAATGTAAACTGATGTGACCACCATGGAAGACTGTATGCAGGTTCCTCAAAAAGTTAAAAATAGAACTACCTTATGGTCTAGTATACTACGGCTGTTTATCCGAAGAGTACAAGAACACTAATTCAAAGGGATACATGCACCCTGTGTTTATAGCAGCATTGGATATAATAATCAAGAATGGAAGCAGCCCAGGTGTCCATCGATTGATGAATGAATAAAAATGTGATATATATATATATACACACACAATGGCATATTATTCAGCCATCGAAAAGAATGAGATCTTGCCATTTGCAATGACATAGATGGAGCTAGAGAGGATAATGCTAGGTGAAATAAGAGTCAAATACCGTATGATTTCATTCGTGTGGAATTTAAGAAACAAAGCAAACAAGCAAAGGGCAAAAAGAGAGAGACTGAGACAAATCAAGAAACAGACAATTATAGAGAACAAACTGAAGGTTACCAGAGAGGTGGTAGGTGGGGGGACGGGTTAAATAGGTGAGGGGCATTAAGGAATGCCCTTGTCATGATGAACACAGGGTGATTATGGAAGTGTTGAACTACTGTATTGTACACCTGAAACTAATATTACACTGTATGTTTACTAACTGGAATTAAAATAAAAATTGAAGGCAAAAACAATTCCCTTTTTGGACTGTGCATTACATGTGTGTAGAAACACAGCTGATGATTGTGTGTTATTCTTGTACTCTTCAAGCTCAATTCATTCATTAGATCTAGTCATTTTCTTGTGATTCTTTGGGAGTTTCTATATAGAGTGAATAGTTGTATTTCTTCCTTTCTAACTTGAATGCCTTTTACATCTTTTTATCTAATTGCTCTGGCTAGAACTCATGGTACAGTGTTAAATAGCAGTGGTTAAAGTGGGCATATTGCAGGTAATTCTTGAAAGAAAAAATGTGAATGGCTTAATAATAATTATGTAAGTGATCATAAAGCTGAAGTCAGCAGACTTTGGTAAATTGCCATATAGTAAATATTATACTTTGTAGGTTGAGAGGCAAAATTAGGTTTTAAAGTTAATGTTCATGGGGAAGGCATGACCTCATTATCCTAAAAATCCTTCCTTCTCTCAAAGACAGTGATCTTCTCTCTTGGGACCTCAGTAGGCTATGTTAACTGCATCCACCTTTGGATACTTATACATACTATCCTCACAGAGTTGGATAACTTTTCATATGCAGAAGCTGGTTAAGTGCCGTTGGGTGTTAATTTCAGCCGAATTACTTTTTAGCTGTGTAATCTTTACTAGTTACTTTTTCTAGAAGCTTCAGTTTCCTCCTCTATAAAATGAGTAACAGTACTTCACAGGGTTGTTGTAAAGATTAAATGAGCTAATAAATGCCAAGATTTAGGCCATGCATGACAGATTATAAAGCACTTGATTTGTATGTATTTATTCTTTTGATTTGTTTTCAACCATTTAAAAATGTAAAAACCATTCTTAGCTCACAGAATGACCAAACTAAAATAGGAGATAGGCCCTGCTATAGTTTGCAGAGATACACAGAGATGAGCTCTTTTATCTTGTGGAAATGTAAATTGGAATATCTTTTCTAGAAATATTTTTTCTGGCAGTGTGTTTTAACAGTGTTAAAAAAATTTTTTTAATGTTTATTTATTTTTGGGAGAGAGAGACAATGTGAATGGGGGGGTAGGGCAGAGAGAGAGGGAGACACAGAATCTGAAGCATGCTCCAGGCTCTGAGCTGTCAGCACAGAGTCTGACATAAGGCTCAAACCCACAAACTGCAAGATCATGACCTGAGCCAAAGTTGCAGGCTCAACCAACTGAGCCACCCAGGTACCCCTTAACAGTGTTTAAATGGCTTTATTATTTGACCCAATTGATCTGTCTTTGGGGACTTTATTCTAGCAACCTGATGAGAGATGCACAAGTATGTAACAGCTTTGTTTAAAAAGAAATTGGAAACAAAACAACCTTTGGTTTCCAAAGGGAGAGGTTTTTTGTATTTTTATTGTATTTAAAACAATCAGTAAAAATCATGCTTTTGAAAAATATTAAAACAAGAAGTGTTCCATATCTAAGTGAAAAAAGAAAGTAAAATCATAGTATTAGATAAGTATCTAAATGATACACTTAGTGTTCTAAGCAATATGTGTTTAATACGTAGTTGTAATTACATATTTGTAAATACATTTGTAAATGTAAAGAGTGGGAAATAGGTCAAATCGTTATCAATACTCTGTGGGTGGTTTTTGGGTTTTTTCCTGCTTTTTATTGATTTTCAAAGATTACATGTTGCTTATATAATCAGAGAAGGACCTCAGTCTTCAATTTATGAAAAGTAGATCAGTAATACTGTTTATGTACTTTAATTTTTAAAAATTGAGGTATAATTGACATATACCAGTAGTATTAGTATTAGTTTCAGGTGTACAACATAATGATCCAATATTTTTATGCACTGCAAAATCATCACAGTAAGTCTAGTTAACATCTGTTACCTTACATAGTTACAAACGTTTTCTTACGATGAGAACTTTTAAGATCTGCTTTCTTACAACTTTTAAGTATGCAGTACAGTATTAACTGTGGTCACCATGCTGCACATTACATCCCCATGACTTGTTTTATGACTGGAAGTGCCTTTTGCCCCCTTCATCTGTATCTTCTACTCTTAACCCCTGCCTCTGGCAACCTCATCTGTTGTCTTTATCTGTGAGCTTGGGTTTTCATTTTGTTTTGTTACCTTCCATACATAAGTGAGATTATGCAGTTTTGTCTTTCTCTGTCTGACTTATTTTATTTAGTATAATGTCCTTGAAGTCCAGACATGTTGCCAGGCGCAAGATTCCATTCTTTTTTTATGGCCGAATAATATTCCATTTGTGTGCGTGTGTGTGTGTGCGCGTGCGCGCACATGTGCATATACATAAATGTGTGTGTATACACACACACACACGCACCACACTTTCTTCATTCATCTGTTGAGGACACTTGGGCTATTTCCACTCTTTGGCTGTTGAAGCGATGCTGCAGTGAACATGGGGGTACATATATCTTTTTAAGTTAGCGTTTTTGTTTTCTTCAGATAAATACCCAGAAATGGAATTGCTAGGTCATATGGTAGTTTGTGTTTTTTAAATTTTTTGAGGAACCTTTATACTGTTTTTGCATGGCGGCTAACCTAGTTTCCATTCTCACCAACATTGCACAGGGGGTTTCCTTTTTTCCTCATCCTTCCTAATACTTGTTATTTCTTTTTTATAATGAGATCTCATGGTGTTTTTGATTTGCATTTCTCTAATGATTAGTGGTGTTGAGCATCTTTTCATGTATTTGTTGGCCATCTGTACTCCACAGCACCCCCCCCCTTGGCCATCTATATGTCTTCTTTGGAAAGATCTGCTGCCCAATTTTTAATCAGATTGTTTGAGGGTTTTTTGTTATTGAATTGTTTGAGTTCTGTATATATTTTGGATATTAACCCTTTATCAGACATGTGATTTGCAAATATTTTCCGATTCAGTAGGTTGCTTTTTCATTTTATTAGTGGTTTCCTTTGTAGTGTAGAAGCTTTTTAGTTTGATATAGTCCCATTCGTTTATTTTTAGTTTTGATGTAGCACTGTTTTTTCATTCTTTTTTTTAAATTTCTTTAACATTTATTTTTGAGAGAGAGAGACAGCGTGTGTGGGGGAGGAGCAGAGAGAGAGGGAGACACAGAATCCAAAGCAGGATCCAGGCTCTGAGCTGTCAGCACAGAGCCTGACACGGGGCCCAAACTCAGGAATGGCGAGATCATGACCTAGGTCAAAGTTGGACGCTTAACCAACTGAACCACCTAGGCGTCCCTGGTGTGGCACTGTTTTTTCTTAAACCCACTTGCTTCAAGAGATGAACATACTTTATAATGATGTTAATCTCCATTTCAAGTTCATTCATGCATTCTCAGGGTTTTATGTTTTTGGAAATTTAATCACTTATATTATCAAATTTAATGTCCTTTATTTGCCTGTTTTTAATTCTGTAACAGGGTAAAATCCTTTACAAAGTTCGATGGAAAGGGTACACATCAGATGATGATACTTGGGAGCCTGAGATTCATCTTGAGGACTGTAAAGAAGTTCTTCTCGAATTTAGGAAGAAAGTTGTGGAGAACAAAGCTAAGCCAGTCAAGAAGGATATTCAGGTATCATGTTAGTTCATATTTCTTTTTTTAGTATAATAAACTTATTACAAATTTTACTGGTATAAGGAATGTGCAGTAAAAATTTACAAATGGTAATAAAATATATAGTATTCCTATTATAAATTCTGTATAGCCACTTGATTCTCATAGAATGCTTATATTGATTTTTGCCAAACTCTTCTTTCTGTCGTCAACCTATGATCATGGTTGATACACAAGTATAGTTTGTACGTGTTGATTAATATTTTCCTTCTAGTCAACAGTAAGGTGAAAGTGGGGGGGTTAAAAACATGTCAGAACTTTATTTGTCCATTATTTGAGCATCTTGTTTTTATGTACCTTAAGAATATTTTCTGTACTATTCATGTTTCTACTGTACAGTGCATACTTTATATTTTGTCTGCATTATTAACACATTTCTTATGTCTGATTTTTATGCTAATTAAAATAAAATAAATCTTAGATCATTTTATAAAGCTGTAAATTTTAATCTATTACAGATTATGCACAGAGCTGATTATCCAGGTCTTTTGTTTTTCTCTTCTATTCCCACTTTAGTTTTTAGCTACTTTATTGCTTTTTAGTAAGCTTTTTCTGATAGTAAGGATAAAGAGATCAGAGGAGCTTAGATAAGTTAAAGTTCTGTTATCAGTTTGGAAAAAGATTTGATGGTGGGCTAGACTGGGATAATATTAAAACAGATGCAAAAGTTAGGGTAAGGGTTTTCTTCTGTGAATTTGTCCATTGTTTTATCCTTGGTCCTCTTTTTCCACAAATAATTGGCTTTATTTATGAATCTTATAAGACTTTCCCATTGTTCTTTCCCATGTACATTTCATTCCAAGCCAATTTTATAAATTAAACCAACTCTTTCTCAACTTGCTTTTGCTTTTTTTCTTTCCCATTAGAAATTATTTTTTTTTTAGAATATTGGCAGCGGTTCTCAAACTTAGAACTATATGGTGAAAATTTTTCACAAGAAATAGATTCTTACCTAGTTGAAGTCTTTATTTTAAGGACTGAATGTTGATCTTCTTTCCCTACAATTTGAATTTCAACCACATTTAAAAAAAATACTTGCAGGGGCTCCTGGGTGGCTCAGATCATGATCTCACAGCTTGTGAGTTTGAGTCCTGTATCAGCACAGAGCCCGCTTTGAATCCTCTGTCCCCTTCTCTCTCAGCCCCTTCCCCCTCTCTCAAAAATAAACATTTTAAAAAACTCTTAAAAAAAAAAAAAGAAGAGTCACATGTTCTACTGACTGAGACAGCCAGGCACCCTAGTCTTGTCTTTTTATGAAGTGCTTCTGGGAAATTGAAAAACTGATGCCAATTCCACCATATTCTCACTGTCTCTGTAACCTTAGTGGCATTCATTTCTTACACACTGTAGGGAAAACATTTTGTAAATGTACCTATCTTTTCCCTCCCTTTCTACCCCCAAGTCATTTAGAAGAAAAGGATTTGGGGAAATGGGAGCTGAAAATACTGCATAGTGTTTGCATAGTGTTTTTGTGTCTATACATAAAATCTTTTTTATTTTTTTTTTAACATTTATTTATTATTGAGAGAGCGAGCATGAGCAAGGGAGGGGCAGAGAGAGAGGGAGACACAGAGTCTGAAGCAGGCTCCAGGCTTTGAGCTGTCAGCACAGAGCCTGACGCGGGGCTCAAACTCACACACCGTAAGATCATGACCTGAGCCGAAGTCGGATGCTAAACCGACTGAGCCACCCAGGCGCCCCTATACATATTATATTTTTAAGGTGTGGTTTTGTTTGTTTATTTAGGGTTTTTGTTTGTTTTGTTTTTTTAGAATAGGAAACTTTATTTTCCATAGGAGGTATTTCAGATTATACAACACAAATCAAATCAGTTGGGGAAGTAAGATTTGTGTACAGTCTTGCTTATTCCGTGTGTAACTGTGAAATATAACAGCAAATTTAAGGACATCTAGGATTCAGTCTTAAAAAAACATTGCTTTTGGATTGATAACTACTTTTTTGACAGCCAATTCTGTACAGATAACTTTTTTGGTGTTTTTGGAAAATTTGAACTTCAGATCACGTAAAACACACCATTCATAAGGCTGTTATTACTCACTTCTGCTTTAGTTTAGGACCTTCAGTGGCACTAACGTTTTTTTCACTGTGTTTATCTGCTTTCATTTTAAAATGATGCTCAGTATCACAACCAAGACCTATTTGCTAAATCAGAGACATAAGTCATATACAACTTCAATTAATAATTTTAAGAAGTTGAGAAACTTGGGGAAAAAAATTACTACTAGATTTCATTCGTACTACTTTTCCAGTTACTATGTTAATGAGTATTTAAGTCTTTTTTATATCTTATAGAAACTGTCCTTAAATAATGACATATTTGAGGCAAATTCTGATAGTGATCAGCAAAGTGAGACAAAAGAAGATACTTCTCCAAAGAAGAAAAAGAAAAAATTGAGGCATAGAGAAGAGAAAAGCCCAGATGATCTGAAAAAGAAAAAAGCAAAGACTGGGAAACTAAAAGATAAATCCAAACCAGACCTGGAGAGCTCTTCTGAAAGTTTAGTTTTTGATTTAAGGACAAAGAAAAGAATTTCGGAAGCCAAAGAAGAAATAAAGGAATCCAAAAAGCCCAAAAAAGAGGACACAAAAGAAACTAAGGAATTAAAGAAAGTTAAAAAGGGTGAAGGAAGAGATTTAAAGGCTAAAATAAGAGAAGATTCCAAAGAAAACAGAAAAACAAAAAAAGAGAAATGTGTTGAATCTCAGTTGGAATCTGAATCAAGTGTACTTAATGACTCCCCTTCTCAAGAAGATGACAATGAAGATTTTCATTCTGACAACAGAGAAGAGAAACAGAAGATTAAAAGTGCAAAAGACAAAGCAGGGCAAGATGCAATTCAGGATGTTTTTGATAAACAGCCAGATGGCTCTGTGAGTGCCGATGAAGATGCTGATGTCAAAGCAAAGAGAAAAAGGAAAAAACTGAGAAAGACTGAGGAACTCAGAGAGAGCAAAACACTAGAAAACAGGAACCTTTTCCTAGAGAAGAAACCTATACATAAGAAGCAAAGGAGTCAGGACAGAGGCAGAAGCACCACAGAGTTAGATAAGCTGATACCTGCACCTGCCCAGACACAGAAGAGTTCAAGAGCAGGTGTGGAAGAGAGAGGCCTCAGGTCTACTGACTCAGCTGGGGAGGTAAGTACTTGGGGGGATCAGTTGAAGGGCAGTAAAAATCTTACAGAGTACAGAAATGCTCCTGTCAAGCTGGCACTCCTTTGAGTGTTCAAGAAACTTTACAAAAACAAAGTGGAAACGGTGTAACAAACTAGAAGAATAGTTTTTATGTGGTTAGGGAGTTCCTTAATGTGTGATTAGAATAGGTAGTTATAAATGATGAAGATCATCCAGCTTTTGGACCTCCCACACTAATCTCTTAGTCTTAAAATTTGCTTTCTTTTAGACTACGACTAGAAAATTGAGGACTAATTTGTGAACAAAACAAGGATTTTTTTCAGGGCTACTCAGATGATGTGTAACATTGTGTAGTAAAACTGAAAATAAGCTTCATCAGCTCAGCTTTTCATACCTTACTTGGTATTTTTCCTATTGTCTTAAAAATATACTACTTTTTTACTTAAATAATAAGCACTAACATTATGAATTTTTTTTAATCTTACAAAAATATGTTTAATAGGAGTTATCCCATTATTATAAAAATTATTTTCATATGGCTTTTCAAAGTGGAAATATTTTCCACATTATTAAGGTATACATATATACAGTATCATGGGCTATGAAAAAGATCTTTTTTTTTTCCATCCATTCTGTGTTTGTGGATTTATCTTAAGGAAGTCATTTTAAAGGAAGAAAAAGCTAGGTATACAAAGATACTTATGGCAGTGTTAGCCTTACTAAAACTCATACCAGTCTGTCTACCATACCATTTCCATGAGGGAAATGATCAGGAAAATATTGCTGTATCAGCTTTGGGACTATACCTATCCATTGAAATACTAATTATGAGGTCAATGTAGCAAAAATAGAAAAGGTTCTAAAATGCTACAGTGAGGAAAGTTGTAAATATGAAACCAGTCATGTAAAAATATCTATGAGATGTAAATAAAGGAAAATGAACTTTAAACAACAAAATTATGCAAATTTACAATGATCAGAGGGGAGAATGTGGAGAAATAAAAATAGTCCTGTTTGGTTAGTAGGAGTGTAGGAAGATTTTTTGGAATTTTCTTTATTTTTAATAATTAAAAAAAATAAGAGTGAGGTGTTGAGTTTTGAATTTGATATTTTTATAAATCATCAGAGTTGAGGGATAATCTTGATTGAAGAAGCAGTTGACATTCAAAAGGATATAATAATCCGTGGTCGTGTGCCATAGTACCCAAAAGACAGTCACTGATGCCAGGAACCTGCATTTTCCAATTTTCAGATATATAGTATCAGTTCCTTCTCTGTCCTTGTTTTGGATCTTACATATGTCTCTTTTAGGAGAAAGAGATTAAAAAAAATGAACCCAAAGAAAAATACCAGAAAAGGCAGGATTTGGACAAGGAAGAAAAAGGTCGTAAAGAGCCAAAGGGATTAAAGAGTGAGTGTGAATACTAACATTTTACCTTTTACCATTGCAGTCTTTTATACAAAAATTTAATTTGCTGTGAAGACAGTCTCTCTTTTCTAACCTGCAGTGTCACAGAACTAGAAAATTTCATTCACTGGAGAATTTAGAACTTTATGCTACTTTTGTTTAAACAGTTACTTTATTATATGACAGTTCATATTTCTGTAATTTTTTTCTCTTCTGTTCACTTTTGTTTCTCCTTTTGATGGAGTACACTAGTACTTGATCTAGTACATTATAAATCCGTTGTGGTGGAAAAGTAAAGGTCTCTTACAATGGATGCTAAATGAGACAAACCACTGTTAATATGTTAATTGTATTTAAGCGCTGAGTCATTTATATAAATATGATACTGAATTTAAATTTTGTATCACATCAAGATACACCATAATTGAGAATCCATGACATGTCAGTACTAGAATCAGGTACTTTATAAAGCATTCACCATTATAGTATTTAAATAAACCCCACTGGATATTTTAGTTCATGTACCAAAAGTACTTGGAACACATGTTCTCATGAAGCAGTGATTCTAAAAGATAGGTAATTTCTTGTCCCCCCCCCCCCCCCCGCCCACCCAAGTCTGTATATGGCTGAGGTAATATTCAAATTAGATTTTGGTTACAGCTTGGGTTGGGACTTAGCAGTAAGTTAGAGCATTATAGGAAGCTGGGAAGGACCACTTGTTTTGATGGATTTTGCATAAAGTAACTTTGCATAAAGTTATAACTTAGGGGTATCTATTCAAAGTACCATATTTTAAGCATGTATCATTCTTCAGAGTCGAGATTAGGGATTCAAAATATAGTACAGTTGGAACTAATTTTTTTCTTCCTCACATACACTTGGAATATGTACTCTTAAACTGCTGTTCACTCCTTTTATAATGGTATTCACTAGGAGGCCAATTTTCAGCATCCCTGCTGATAAAATCTATCTGTCTTGTACCCTGAGTTTATAATGGAATTCTTCCTAGTTTTTTTCTATTCTGCCCTTTTTGGGGGTTATTATGTCATATCTGTTGTTTTGCCACTCTTCTTTCCACTTTGTTTTTTTAATTTTTTTATGTTTATTTATTGTTGAGAGAGAGAGACAGAGTGCAAGCAGGGGAGGGGCAGACAGAGAGGCAGACACAGAATCCAAAGCAGGCTCCAGGCTCTGAGCTGTCAGCATAGAGCCCGATGTGGGGCTTGAAACGATGAACCGTGAGATCATGACCTGAGCCGAAGCGGGGGGCTTAGCTGACTGAGCCACACAGGCACCCCATCTTCTTTCCACTTTTATGTTTAGTTAAAAGCTAAGTAGATTTTTACAGACATCAGGTATAATTTTACCAGGTGCATGGTCAGTGTGCTGGCACCCTTCAGTTTCCCCCACTCTCCACCAAGAGCCATTTTTGTGCAAGGTTAACTTTGGGATACAGTTGTAGGCAGTTGTTTTAGCAGAAGGACAGTGGTGTCCTGAGACTAGGATTATTGTGAGGCTCACTATCTTCAGTAGGCCTTTGTCAAAACAGGCAGTAGTTCCGAACACCTAGTTTAACAGCCATTCACTTTAGACACCTTTCTAAATATTGAGCAGGCAGTAGAAAGGCCAGTTGAAACAAGTTCACAGCTTTGATAGTAAATCTGATCATGCTTTATAACCAAGACAGACACTAGTAAAAATTTCAAATTCTTACTATTTCTTTAATACCTAGATTTTCTTTTGATTTCAACAGAAATTTGTGAGTCATATTTATTCTCAATTTTATTTTTTCACTAGCATTTAAGGAAATCAGAAATGCATTTGATTTATTTAAATTAACTCCAGAAGAAAAAAATGATTTTCCTGAGACTAATCGGAAAAGAGAAGAAATACCACTAGATTATAAAATCACAGAAGATCACAAAACCAAGGAAAACAAGCAGTTACTTAAAGAAAGGAGAAATACAAGAGACGAAACTGATACTTGGGCTTATATAGCTGCAGAAGGTGATCAAGAGGTTCTGGACAGTATGAGCCAAGCAGATGAGAATTCTGGTAAGTATGTTTGTAATAATTTTGCAGTATTTTTTCAGGATAATGTACCATATTTCACTTTTCTAACTCCTCTCTCCCAGTATAATTCTGATCAGGAAGTAATGAAGTAGATTTTATTGACCCTTCCAAAGAAACACATTTTTATCTTGAAGACTTAAGTCATTCTGTGATTCTGAATTGATTAAACAAGTATTTTCTGAGTTCCTATACTTTGCTTTTAGCACATTTAGAAATTATAAAGATTTTTGGTTTTCTACATTACCTACTCTTGCCAAGCAGTCTGATTGTATATCTCATTAGATTTCTTTCAGAAAATTATCAAATACAGACTTATTTGTATTCTACCCTTTTAACTTTGCAATAACACTTGCTAAAATAAAATTATATTATAAATGCTATCCTGGGGATGTTGGAATTGGCTGCCAAGGAGGGAGAATCATGGATAGAATTCAGAGTACAGTAGCTGTGGGGAAGAGCGTGTGTATACACACACAGACACACACACACACACACGTATATAAAACTAGGACACAATAAACAAAAGAGATTAACCTGGTAAAACTCTCTTATTTGTAAATCTTGAGAAACAATTGAAGAGAATTAAAAAAAATTGTTTTTTAATGTTTCTTTGTTTTTGAGAGAGAGAAAGAATGCAAGTGGGGGTGGGGCAGAGAGAGAGAATCGAATCAGGTTCCAGCTCCAAGCTGTTAGCACAGAGCCCAGCAAAAGGCTCGAACTCACGAACCAGGAGATCATTACCTGAGCTGAAGTCAGCTGCTTAACCGACTGAGCCACCCAGGCACCCCAAAGAGAATTTTTTAAGTATTTCAGCGGGCACCTGGGTGGCTCAGTCATATGAGCCACCAACTCTTGATTTCAGCCTCAGGTCATGATCCCAGGGTCATGGGATTGAGCCTTACGTCAGGCTCCACGATTAGCATGGATCTTGCTTAAGATTCTCTCTCTTCTTCTGCCCTTTGCATGTTCTTGCTCTTTCTCTCAAATAAAAATAAAAATAAAATATTTCCAGATGTATGGCAGGCTAGATAGTCTGGGTGACTCTCATACTGCAATACAGCTGGATTCTGAATACTATGTAAAACATATTTTCTGATACATTGCTGAGCTTACAGGAAATTGGGACACCTTCTAGGAGGAGTAGACAAAGGGGACGAAAGAGGTTGCCCACAGGGCACATGCCAAATAGTGGCTTTGCTGTTGGGATATTAAACAATAAAGAACAGATAGTAGGTGTTGGTTTGCAAACTCCAGACTTCCCTGGGTGAAATCTGAATCCAGCCTGTCTGGGGAGTACAGGAAGTAACCAAAGAAAGGGGCCGGCCACTCCAGATTGATAGGTGGCAGATTTAATAAGCAAGGGGACTTTACATATGAGACTTGCCTTCGTTTGCCACAAGTCGAGTAGATCAGTCTGTGCATGTGCACACACACAACACACACACATGCACCCCTCCCTGTGAATCTTAAAAGTTTATATAGAGGCCTTAACTGGATTCAGTCACATACTTAGTCCACATAGTCTCAACAACACCTTAAACTCTCAAGGCTATGTCCTTGAAATAGCTCCTAGTATGAAAATGGTGGGTGGAACCTTCTGAAGAAAAGCCTCTCATTGCTTGTGTCAACCCAAAGTCATATCCTCTCAATGACCTCCTTCCAACAGTAGCGAACATCAGTAAAGCCATAGGTTGGTTCACTGAAAAGACTAATAGAATAGACAAGCTTCTACCAATGTTGACTAAAGAATGAAAATTGAAAAGAGAATGCATAAACAAACAATATTTCCAGTGAGAAAAGAGACATGATTGTAGATTGTGTACAGATTAAAAAGATAATTCTGTGAGCAGTTTTTTACCAATAGATTTGAAAATAGAGTGAAATGGGAAAATTCCTGGGAGAATATAGTTTAACAAAACTGACCCAAAAAGAAATACAAAAATTGAGTAGTTTTACAGCTATTAAAGAATGTGAGGGGCATGTGGGTGGCTCAGTCGGTTAGGCATCTGACTTCAGCTTAGGCCATGATCTTGTGGTTTGTGAGTTCACGCCCCACGTGGGGCTCTGTGCTGACAGCTTCAGAGCTGGGACCCTGCTTTGAAGTCTGTCTGTCTGTCTGAATGTCTCTCTCTCTCTCTCTGCCCCACCCTTGCTTGTGTTCTGTCTCTGTCTCTCAAAAATGAATAAATGTTAAAAAAAAAAAAAAAGAATGTGAAATAGTAATTTAAAATAGCCTTAAAAATTTAACACTACAGGGCGCCTGGGTGGCTCAGTTGGTTGAGCGTCCGACTTTGGCTCAGGTCCTGGTCTCATGGTTCATGGATTCAAGCCCAGCATCGGGCTCTGTGCTGACAGCTTGCTTGGAGCCTGGAGCAGGCTTTGGATTGTGTCTCCTGCCCCTCCCCCGCTTGCTCTCTGTCTCTCAAAAGTAAATAAATGTAAAAAAAAAAAATTTTTTTTTTTTTTTCAAATTTAACACCAGGCACAGATAGTTTCAATACAAGAGCTTACCAAAATTATAAAAAAGTCTTCCTAAAATAAAGAATGCTAACTTGTTCCTTGGGCCCATTATACTTTCAGAACCATAATGAGAAAGAAACTTTGTAAGAAAGGAAAGTGACAGGTCAAGCTTGCTCATGAACTCAGATGTAAGTATCCCAAACAAAACGTTAGGCAATTGAATCTAGCTGTATGTAAGAACATAACCTATTATAATATAACATAACTTAATAGTTAGCAGTCCTTAGGAATTCAGTGAGTAAAGGAGAAATTGATTCAGAAACATCCTCAATTTCTAAAAAACAAAACCTAACAAATTAATAAAAGGGAGCTTTCTCGGGGAACGGTCAAGATAGTGGAGCAGCATGGAAGTTTTTTGCATCTCTCGTCCCTGAAATGCAGCCAGATCAACACTAAACCCTCTTTCACGCCTAGAAAATTGATCTGAGGATTAACACAACAGTCTGCACAACTTGAACCACAGAACTCGGCAGGTACACAGTGCAGAGAGGTGAACTGGGGTAGAGAGAAGCCGCAGAGGGGTAGGGATCGGTTTTTGCTTGCAGAGAGAGGACAGAGAAAGTAGGGAGAGTACGGGAAAAGCACTCCCCTTGAAAGAAGCTGGAGAGAAAAAGAGAGTAGAAATACCCATAAGGGAATTCCCAAGAAAGGAAGAAAAGAGAAAGGAAGAGAGTTTGGATAGCATTAAGACTCTATGAACAGGGGAGTATAGAGTCTGAAACTCCACAGCTCAATACCTGGCAGAGTTCTGGTGGGAAGGGTGCATCCTCAGAAGCAGAGAGCAAGGTCCTCAGGGTCCTTAGGCCACACGGGGAGAGACAGTGGTTCCCCTGCCAAGAGGACATTTGGTAGAGGCTGTGTGGCCTCCCCCCAACAGGCAAAGGTCTCAGCAAACCCTGGAGAACAGCCACGTTTGCTGGTGTTGGAACAAGGATGTTAAGAGGGGGGTGAAGCCTGGTGCCAGATGTGTGTTGTTATAGACCCTAATCCCTGAAACACTGGTGCTACGCGATCATGTGAACTTTTTCTGGGGCAGGCTGGCACCTGGCCACAGTCTCCAGGCCTCTGCAACAGTGTGGTTACATGAACATTCCTGGGGCTGGGCTGGCATTTATAATATAATAATGTATTACAAACCTGTAATCATCAAAACAGTATGGTACTGGCACAAAAGCACTCAGATCCTTGGAACAGAATGGAGAACCCAGAAATGGACCCACAAACATATGGCCAACGAATCTTTGACAAAGTAGGAAAGAATATCCAGTGGAATAAAGACAGTCTCTTCAGCAATTGGTGTCAGGAAAACTGGACAGCGGCATGCAGAAAAATGAACCCGGACCACTTTCTTACACCATACACAAAAATAAGCTCAAAATGGATGAAAGACCCAAACGTTAAGACAGGAATCCATCAAAATCCTCTAGGATTTTCAGCCACAGCAAGTTCTTTTTCAACACGTCTCCAGAGGCAAGGGAAACAAAAGCAAAAATGAACGATTGGGACCTCATCAAGATAAAAAGTTTCTGCACGGTGAAGATAACAATCAGTAAAACTAAAAGGCAACTGATGGAATGGAGAAGATATTTGCAAATGACATATCAGATGAAGGGTTAGTATCCAGAATCTATAAAAGACGTGTCAAAGTCAACATCCAAAAAACAATCCAGTCAAGAAATGAACCAAAGACATGAATGAACACTTTTCCAAAGAAGACATCCAGATGGCTAACAGACACATGAAAAAAATGCTCAACATCACTCATCATCAGGGAAATAAAATCACCACCTCAGCCCTCTCAGAATGGCTAACATTAACTCCGGCAACAAAAGATGTTGGCAAGGATGCGGAGAAAGAGGATCTCTTTTGCACTGCTGGTGGGAATGCAAACTGGTGCAGCCACTATGGAAAACAGTATGAAGCTTCCTTAAAAAGTTAAAACTACCCTACGACTCAGCAATTGCACTACTAGGTGTATATCCAAGGGATACAGGTGTGCTGTTTCATAGGGGCACATGCACCCCAGTGTTTATAGCAGCACTATCGACAATAGTCAAAGTATGGACAGAGCCTAAACATCCATCGACAGATGAACGGATAAAGATGTGACATATATATGTGGGGAGGGGGTGTATACATGTTTATACGTGTGTGTATACATGTATACATGTGTGTGTGTGTATATATATGTATATATACACACATATATACATACAATGGAGTATTACTCAGCAATCAAAAAGAATGAAATCTTGCCATCTGCAACTATGTGGCTAGAACTAGAGGGTATTATGCTAAGTGAAATAAGTCAGTCAGAATAAGACAAATATCATATGACTTCACTCATATGAGGACTTTTAAGATACAAACCAGATGAACATAAGGGAAGGGAAGCAAAAATAATATAAAAACAAGGAGGAGGACAAAACATAAAAGACTCTTAAATACAGAGAACAACCAAGTGTTGCTGGAGGGGCTATGAGGGGGGATGGGCTAAATGGGTAAGGCATTAAAGAAGACACTTGTTGGGATGAGCACTGGGTATTACATGTAGGGGATGAATCACTGGTATCTATTTCTGAAATAATTATTATACTATATGCTAACTAACTTGGATGTAAATTAAAAATTAAAAGGGAGCTTTCTCAAGAACGTTAAACTTTTGGCAAACATCTGTCACTGCTTTTATTCCACATTATTCTAAGGTCTACCCAGTACAGTAAGAGAGTGAAAAACAAAAGATACAAGCCTTTGGGAAGGAGGCCTCCCCTCTCCCTTCCCCCAAAAAGCTGTTCATTATTAGATGTTATCATATATGTAGAAAACTCAAAAGAATCCACAAATTTTTAGAAATGTTAAATGTTTAACAGGTGATTGGATATAAGGCCAATATATAAAAATTACCTACAGTTCTGCATATATTTCTTTCTTTAAATTTTTTTTTTTACATTCATTCTTTTTTGAGAGACATAGTGAGACAGAGCGTGAGCAGGGGAGGGGCAGAGAGAGGAGAGACAGAATCCAAAGCAGGCTCCCAGCTCGAGCTGTCAGCACAGAGCCTAACGCCAGGCTCGAACCCATGAACGGTGAGATCATGACCCGAGCTAAAGTCAGACACTCAACTGACTGAGCCACGCAGGCGCCCCGATGGCAAAACCATTTTTAAAAGAATGAAAGAGAATGACCTTCAAATTATCGACCCTCCCCCCCCCAGCTGGGGGGGGGGCGGGGGGGGCGCCCCCCCCCCCACTAGGTGGGAGTGTTTAGGTCCTGGCATGGTTCTGTGCTCAAGGTAGTGCTGTGTTCACTGATGTTCACCTCCTAACACATTCTTTAGCGTTATTAAAAATAAAATTTTAAATTAAAACTAATAAAGTTTATTAAAAATAAAAAGTTAAAATTACCAGATGCTGAATCAAGATCCAGTACTTGGTAGGAATGAACATAGGATTTTGAACCAGTTTGCTACGTGACAGACCAAAATCTGAGCTGAAGCATAACCTTTTCTTGTTACTTTGTAAGAGTCCTGTAAATTAGGCCATATTCTGTCAGCTGATATAAACCCTCATGTGTCCTGCTTCCCAGATCTTTTTCGTGGTACCATGGTGCCGTGCTAGAGTGAGGAGGTCCAGCTGTGGGCTCAGATATGTCACAGTACGAATATGGCTCTTGGCTTACTGATGTGTGTCTGAGCAGATCCAGAACCTCTTCACCTTACCTGTAACATGTATCCCCTTACAGGTTATTGTGCATGGATTAAATGTGCTAATTCTTACTGAACGGTAGCTGCTTTTACTATTACTACTGCTATTCAGAAAGTGAGGTAAGGCAACTTGATGTGACTTACTCAGAGCCATGCAGCTGACATGTGGAGCTGGGATGTAGAAAATCCAGGATGTGCAGCTCCTGAGGTTGTGCTGTTGCTACAGTGGAATGCTCTTGGAGGTGCAGAGAGAAGTGTTGGCTTGAATCAAGAGCTTTGGAAGAATTTCCTTCATTTACTTGCATGTCTTTTACAAACTTCATCTCGATGGCAAGATTAACTGCCTAACATTTGTAAAATTTGAGGAATTGGTTTTAGGTGAAAATACTTTAACTCTGACCATAAAATATTTATGCTTTTTACTTTCTAAAATAGCACGGTTGTTTTTTGGAGCCCTGAGTGGCTCAGTTGGTTAAGCATTTGACTTCAGCTCAGGTCATCATCTCGTAGTTCATGAGTTCGAGCCCAGCGTTGGGCTCTGTGCTGATAGCTCGGAGCCTGGAACATGGTGCCTGCTTCCGATTCTGTGTCTCCCTCTCTCTCTACCTCTCCCCCGCTCACACTGTCTCTCTCAAAAATAAATATTAAAAATTCTTTTAATAAAAAACTTTAAAAAATAGCACAGTTGTTTTGAATTACTCCCTAATGAGTTATGTTCAAATCTTATTTGTTGCATGGCAGATAGTGGATCAACACGTCCTTTCCTAATGTTAACGAGCCCCTGGGTCAAACAGATGAGGGAGGAAACCAGCACTTGCTTTATGGGTAGGAGGGAGCACAGAGGGCTTTCAGGAGGAGAGTTTGGAGCTGAGTCTGAAGATCAGTGGCTTTTATTTACATACAAGTTTGGTTTACACATTTAGAATGGCTTTACCTACATAAATGATTGGAGGAAATATATATCCAAGAAGAATGGCCAAAGATAGAAATGTTACGAGATTTGGGGTTCCTGGATGGCTCAGTTGGTTAAGGATCTGACTTCGGCTCAGGTCATGATCTCACACGTGGCTCGTGAATTCGAGTCCTGCATCAGGCTCCATGCTGACAGCGCAGAGCCTGGAGCCTCCTTCGGATTCTGTGTCTCCCTCTCTCTGCCCCTCCCCTGCTCACACTCTGTCTCCAAAATAAAACGTTAAAAAATTTTTCAAAAGACACTACAAACTTACGAAAATGGCATTGTTACAGGGGAAAAAAGTGTATTAATAAGCCTCTTCTGTGTTCCAGATGGCAGACAACAGATTTTGAGTTTGGGCATGGACTTGAAGTTGGAGTGGATGAAATTAGAAGATTTTCAAAAGCATCTTGATGGGGAAGATGAGAGTTTTACTACAGCAGATGCAATTCCGAGTAGTGAGTAGTGTGGGTATTTTGGAGATTCTTTTCACGAATCTAGATGTGTGAAGTCTAATTTATCTTAATTCTTTCATTGCAGATTTATTGAGGGATGCTGTGAAAAATGGGGATTACATTGCTGTGAAGGTTGCACTTAATTCAAATGAAGACTATAACCTGGACCAAGAGGTAATACATCTTAGTAAAATCTCATGAAATAAAGATGGAAAGTAGCGCTTTTCACATAATTCAGTTTTACTTTTCATATTTTAAAAATTATAAAAGTAAGGGGGTGCCCGGGTGGCTCAGTCGGTTAAGCACCAACTTCGGCTCAGGTTGTGATCTCGCGGTTCATAAATTCAGGCCCCCGCTTTGAGCTGTGCTGACAGCTCAGAGCTTGGAGCCTGCTTCAGATTCTGTGTGTGTCTCTCTCTTTGCCCCTCCCCTGCTTGCTCACGCTCTCTCTCTCTCTCTCTCTCAAAAACATTTAAAAAAATTTTTTTTTAATTATAAAAGTAGGGGTGCCTGGGTGACTCAGTCAGTTGAGCATCTGACTCTTGTTCAGCTCCAGGTCATGAGATCGAGCCCTGAGTCGGGCTCTGCACTGGGCATAGAGCTTGCTTAAGATTCTCTCTCCCTATATCATTCGTGCTCACTCTGTCTCTGTCTCTCTGTCTCTGTCTCTCTCTCTCTCTCAAAAATTAGAAAGATGCTCTCTTCCCCCTCCCCACCCCATATCCCTCTCCCTGGCTCGTGCTCTCTCTCTCTAAAATAAAATGTTATAAAAGTAATGTTCACTTTATAAACTGAAAGCACAGTAGAAATGTGTAATGTAGAAAATTATAGACCTTGTAATTCCAACCCCTACAGTGACCATTTGGTTCAGCTGTGACCTGTCTGGTTTTGTTTGTGGTTCTGTCTGTGGTTGAACCTCTGCTGCTTGAGGGCATAAAATGACTCCTTGTGTCTGAGTCTTTTAAGCTTGGAGAATTTTTATTTTTTTTTTTTTTATTATTATTATTTTTTAATGTTTATTCATTTGAGAGAGAGACAGAGCGTGAGCAGGGGAGGGGCAGAGAGAGGGAGACACAGAATCCAAGGCAGGCTCCAGGCTCTGAGCTGTCAGCACAGAGCCTGACATGGGGCTCAAACTCAAAAACTGTGAGGTCATGACCTGAGCTGAAGTCGGACGCTTAACCGACTGAGCCACCCAGGCGCCCCAGAGGATTTTTATTTTTAGATAGTCACATCTGTCAGTCCTTTCCTTTATGGCTTCTGGGTGTCTTGTCTTACTTACAAGAGATTTTTATATTTTCTTCTTTAGTTTTCATGCTCTCGTGGTGGATTTTTAGGTTTAATCTTCAGAGATTATGGTTCAAAAAAATTATTGGGATTTTGATTAAAATTGCATGAAATCTGGGGCACCTGGGTGGTGCAGTCAGTTAGGCATCCAACTCTTGATCTCAGCTCAGGTCATGATGTGGTTTGTGAGGTTGAGCCCCGCACTGGGCTCTGCTCTGATGATGCCGAGCCTGCTTGGGATTCTGTCTCTCCTTCTCTGTGCCCCTCCCTTGCTTGTGTGTGTGCGTTCTCTCTCAAAATGAATAATTAAACATTAAAAGAATTTTTTTAATTGTATGAACTCTATAGCTAAACTTGGTTGAGAATTGACATTTTTTACATTTGAGTCCTCCAAATAAGAACGTGATAACTCTACATTCATTCAGCTCTTCATTTATTCCTAAAGCGGTTTTATGAGTTTTTTCCTTCATACGATTCTTGCACATTTAGTTTAGATGCTTTCCTACATATTTGATAATTTTTAAATTATCTTAGTGTCATCATTAGGATCTTTTTCCTCCCATATTTTGTCTTCTAACACATTATTACAGGTGTTCGGTGAGGCTATTGATCTGTGTGTGTGTGTGGTCTCTGGTCACTTTGAAATTCTCTTACTTTAATAACTTTTAAATTATTCTCTGGGTAGAGAATATGATCATCTGCTGAAAAGTAACTGTTTTGTTTCCTTCGTGCACAGTAATATTTCTTTTTCTGGTCTTGTAAACTTGGTGACATTTTGCAGAAGAGTTCTGATGGAGGCGATCCTGTTCTGTCTCTCGTCTGAGGGTGGCTTTCCCCTGAGGCTGTGTGAAGATCCTTTTTCTGTTGTGCTGTTGTTGGTTTCTAGTGGACAGTAGACTTCCTTTTGTCTATCTCTTGAAGTTCTTATCAGGGATGGATGTTGGGTTTTATCTGGTGCTTTTTTCCCTACTTTCATTCTTATGTAGCTTGGTCTTCATTAATAAAAAGCCTAGCAGCTACAGGGAACTTTACTAAGTTAGAAAAAAGGTTTTTTCCCTCTAATATGTTTTGTGGTAATAAGGTAATTTGCAGATGAGAGGAAGTGCACTACCTTATTTCAGTTAATTTTTCTTACATTTGTGTTCAGATTGCTCATGCAGGTGAATTCTGCTAAATTTTCAGATTGTAGCCAAATTAACTCACCTTGTTAGAACTTGGTTTTATCAAATGGCATTTAATAAATGGCTTGATTTTCCCATGTGTTTGTTTCAAATGATTGGAAATGTTTTGGCTTTTTATTTTTTGTCAACTTTATGTAATTTTATCTCTTTTTAAAGTATCTTAGGGGTGCCTTGGTGGCTCAGTCAGTTAAGCATCCAACTTCGGCTCAGGTCGTGATCTCGCGTTTGTGGGTTCGAGGCCCGTGTCAGTCTCTGTGCCGACAGCTCAGAGCCTGGAGCCTGCTTCGGATTCTGTGTCTCCCTCTCTCTCTTCCCCTCCCCAACTTGTGCTCTGTCTCCCCTGTCTCTCTCTCTCTGTCAAAAATAAATAAACATTAAAATTTTTTATAAAGTATTTTAATTTGTCTAGATTGTCATAGCCTGTTAGAAACCAATCATATCAGTGTCCTGTTTCCTGCTTCTGAATTTTCTTCTTCATCCCCTGAGCAATCAAACTGTCATTTCCCAACAGTTAGCTTTTGTAGAGGCCATTTGTCTAATCCAGACAGCATTCGGTTACCCTTGGACTTAGGTCACTTCTAGTGGTCATTTCTAGCCTCAGATCTTTGGCCAGCTAAGCAACTATCACGAATGTGAGTTTCACCTGTTTTACCTAGAACACAAGGAGGCTTTCGGACCTGAAATGTGCGATAAATAAATAAGTACCTTTGCCATTTTTATAGCATCAAGATGCACTATTCATCAGTATGTCGTGCAGAATGTTGACGGGCCTTTAGAACGTTAATACCTGGAAGTTGTAAAATTTTTATGACATGTAAAGAAATTGTGAAGGTTATTAGTTTCTGATTATAATAAGGATATTTTAGTGAGGGGCACCTGCCTGGCTCAGTCAGAAGACGGTGCGGTGCAACTCTTGATTTCAGTGTTGTGAGTTCAAGCCCCACATTGGGTGTAGAGATTAATTATTAAGAATAAATAAGTAAACTTAAATAAAAATAAGGATATTTTAGTGAAAGACTTAGGTAGATGCTTAAATCAGTATACTTCAGCGAGTTCACGTTGAAACATCCTGGGTGAAGAGACTTAGTTCTGGAATTTTTCTGATAGACATTGACATGTCTTTTCCTCAACAAAACCAATGAAGGATTCAAGCGGGATGACCCTGGTGATGCTCGCCGCAGCCGGAGGGCAAGACGACCTTCTGAGGCTCCTCATCAGGAAAGGGGCTAAGGTGAATGGCAGACAGAAGAATGGGACCACCGCCCTCATTCACGCCGCCGAGAAGGTTGGGAACTCAAGAGCCCTCAGTTTCTTAGTCTAGGAATTCCTGCCTGTGGACTGGGACGGTCTGTTTCCGTCCTGTCCTGAAACGTAACTCTCATATAGTCACAAAGCTTTAGAGTCTCATATTTCAGTTCATCTCAGACTTGTCATGAATAGTTTTTGTTAATTAGTAGCTGTACTTTGTAATTGAATTTTCAAAATGTGATTCGTGTAGTGGGAAGTGATTTATATTGAAAAAGGACCCTGGGGGCTCCTGGCTGGCTCAGTTGGTAGAGCATGCGAGTCTTGATCTCGGGGTCATGAGTTCAAGCCCCATGTTGGGCACAGAGTTTACTTTAAAAAAAGAAAAAGTAAAAGGACCTCTGGTTAAGGTACTAATACTGGTTTCAATGTTAGATCTTTTAAAAATCTTTTCCGGTTGAGGGGCACCTGGGTGGCCGAGTCAGTTAAGTGTCCCGCGTCCGGCTCTGTGCTGACAGCTCGCAGCCTGGAGCCTGCTTCAGATTCTGTGTCTCCCTCTCTCTCTGCCCCTCCCCCACTCACGGTGTCTGTCTCAGAGAAAAATAAACATTTAAAAAAATGAAAAATCTTTTCCAGTTGAAATGCTCCTTTTGGTTAAGAATTTAATGAAAATATTGCCACATATTATCTTTTTAAAAGATGAATACACAGAGATTCATAGGTTGAAACCAGTGGTTCCACTTGAGATCGAAGTTGCTGGCAAAGGGCGTGTGGCTGTGTGGAGCCTGAGCAGGAGGGCACAGTGAAGAACCGTGTTCACCAACCTGCTTGGGATAGAATCTGAGTATTTTTCCTGATGGCTAAAAATTTCAAATCATCAAAAAATATCTTCTAAAGAATTTTGGGAATTAAATTTGCTTTTTCTTTTTTTTTTTTTTTTTTAATAGAACTTCCTAACTACAGTGGCTATTCTTTTGGAAGCAGGAGCTTTTGTAAATGTCCAGCAGAGTAACGGTGAGACTGCTCTAATGAAGGTAAATACTTCACACGGGTCACCTACTCCCTCGCTCTTCACAGATGCCTCTGCCAGGCAGTCTGCTGGGGGCCGAGAATAGGATGGGGAACAGGACACAGATGTGTAAGAGAAACCGTTTAGCAAAGAAGCAGTTAAAAGCTGGTGTGAACACGATCTCGCGGTCCGGGAGTTCGAGCCCCGCGTCAGGCTCTGGGCTGATGGCTCGGAGCCTGGAGCCTGTTTCCGATTCTGTGTCTCCCTCTCTCTCTGCCCCTCCCCCGTTCATGCTCTGTCTCTCTCTGTTCCAAAAATAAATAAACGTTAAAAAAAATTAAAAAAAAAAAAAAAAAAAAGCTGGTGTGAACAATAATGTAATAGGAATAAGCACAGGGAGCTCTGGAATTACATGAAAGTTGGTACCAGGCCTAGCAGTGTGGATTCAGGGCCGGACAGGGCAGGGCTTCTGGCTGGCTCAGTCAGTAGAGCATATGACTCTTGATCTCAGGGGTCATCAGTTTGAGCCCCATGTTGGGTTTAGATTACTTTAAAAAAAAGAGGTAAGGAGCACCTGAGTGGCTCAGTCAGTTAAGCATCTGACTTCAGGTCAGGTCATGAACTCATGGTTTGTGAGTTTGAGCCCCGTGTTGGGCTCTGTGCTGAAAGCTCGGAGCCCGGAGCCTGCCTCAGATTGTGTGTCTCCCTCTCTCCCTGTTCCTCCCAGCTCCTGTTCTGTCCCTCTCCCTCTCCCTCTCTCTCTCTCTCTCTCTCTCTCTCTCTCTCTCTCTCAAAAATAAAGATTAGGGGTACCTGGGTGGCTCAGTCGGTTGAGCCTCCAACTTCAGCTCAGGTCATGATCTCACAGTTCATGAGTTCAAGCCCCGCATTGGGCTCTGCGCTGACAGCTCAGCCTGGAGCCTGCTTCGGATTCTGTGTCTCCCTCTTTCTGTCTCTCAAAGATGAATAAATGTTTAAAAAAATTTTTTTTTAATAAATACATAAATAAAGACTTAAAAATTTTTTTTTCTTTTTAAAAGAGGTGAGATACGGTGGATGTGATGGGTGGCTGAGCTGCATCCCACAGAATGATACATAAGCTGACAGGGATGAGCTGTGTGAGCGGAAACTGGAGTAAGATGTGTACTGACACCTGGGAGTGGGAAAGAGCACGGTGTGCTTACATTATGGTTTTACGTGAGTGGAATCAGATTTCTTCGAGTGTGTTTGCAGTTGTGGTTTGATGATTGTTTTGAATGGAAGGTTGCTAAAGCTTCCTACATATCTCCCCCTTTAATTGCCCCTCTCTGTTTACAACAGTTTTGTATTTGCCTCTCCTGGGGCCTAGCCCAGTCTAGAATGTTCCTGTGGCAGTTCTAAATTCCTGGCCTACGATGCTGTTAGGACATAACAGGTCCTGACATCACACCGAGTGTTAGTTCCCTGCACGGAGGGAGGCTCTGTCTTACTGCCCCCTTCCTAGATACAGGTTGGTGCAAGCTCTTAATCCGAGTAGGTGTTTCTTGGCCGTACTGAGTTTCAGCTGCATTTCCTGAGTCAGTGAGAGCACAGGTACAGGCTCAAGTTACCACTGGGCCTGGGCCTCAGTGTGGTCTTGAATCTTTGTACTCTCAAGGCCAGCATCACCTGTCCCCTCGGCCGAACTCACTCCTTGTGCTGCTGTTTCACTTCTGGTTCGCGGAAATGCTTATTTTGTTCAGGAGCCCTACTTTCGAATTTTAATTTTCCTTTATGTGTACCTGTTGCCATATGTTTAGAGCAGAGGTGGCACCCCAAAGCATGAATTAAAACTTTGTCTTACCGCGAAATCACTGGATACATGCTGCACAGCAGATACTCGAGTAGTCAGGCGTGTGGAGGTGCGCACAGGGCAGTGAGCGCAGACACAGGAATTAGGATGACCTAATCCTGAGAGCGTTCAGGAGCCACAAAGCTGGAGAAACATAATCAGAGGAAAGGTGACTGTTTTTAATGTCCCCCTAGGTCAGTAGGGGGAAGGAAATGGATAAAAGACCAGGAGTTAGCAGACATATAGGGGACATTTTTTAAATTAAGTGAAATAATAGTCTGTACCCAGGTAGTGATAGTGGAGATAGAAGTGGGTAGACCAGTGTTTTAAAGAGGTAGAATTCATGGGACTTGGTAATTGACGGCTATGCTTGTAATCCTGTTTGCTAATTTAGGGAACACAGACAGTATACAATGGGAGTGGGGTTGCATTTGAGCTGAAAATGCTCAGATGTTTCACATTGTGATCTTTTGCTCAGGAGAAGGGTGTGGGCTCTATATTCAGATTCGGGTTCATCTGTGTAGACAACATGATTACAGCCCTAGGCTGAGAGTTGGGTCACCACTGAGATTTGGAAGGGAAAGAACGGTCAGAGAAGGCAGCCACATAGGAAAGACCAGAGGAAGAGGAAGATCGGGAGGGAGAGGTATCCTGAGTGAGCTGGCCCGAAGCATCTGTGGGGCAGAGATGCCAAAGAACAATGGGCTGAGAAATTGGGAGAAAGGGAGAAATTGCCCTTGGGGGTTAGCACTGCAGAGGGTGTTGGCGCCCTCATCTGGGCAGAGTTTGTATTGGGTTTGAGGGATGTGGGCTTGCAGGGGCTGGGAAGGTGGGTGCTGGATGTAGCTGGCACTTAGGAGTTGGTCTGAAAAGGAGGAAGGCAGTGCCCAGAGGGGAAGAGGTCGAGGGATGGTTTCTTGTCTCTTCCCAGAGAGGAGCTTAAGCATACGTAATAAACTGTTGTCTAAATTAGACTGCCTATAAATGTCTTTAATTTTGGTTTTTATTTTTTTGGTTTGCTTTGGTTTTTGTTTGTGTTGGGTTTGGGGGGGCACCTATTGTTTAAGCTTTACTTAGATTTAGTATATTAAATTGGTTTTATTGAATGTGAGAATTAGAAGAAATAAACCTGGGGAAAGATTTTCAGAAATGTTTAAAACAAAATAAAAAACCTTTCATCTCAGAAATAACGTATGAACTTGATCATTACCAGAATGTGAGGGTGTGGAGAAAGCGCATTCTCACCCCCTAATGTTGGGCATACACCTGGTCCCAGCAGGGGCCTCTCGCCCTTCCTGCTACTGACATTGCGGGCCGGATCGCTTGTAGGATGTGTCGCAGCATCCCTGGCCTCTGCGCCAGGTGACATAGTGCCCACCCTCAGGTGTAACAACCAGCAATGTCTCCGTCAGTTGCCTGAATTCCCCCGGGGGCAAAACCACCCCAGTGGGAACCACAGGGCTACATGCTTTTGAAGGGCATTTGTCAGATCTGTCACTAGATGCATGCCCTTTGACCTAGCGATTACACGGCTCAGACACCTGCTCTGTAGAAATGCTGTCCCGCATGCTCAGTAGCACACGAGATGGCATTGTTCCTGTGGGAAAGCTTACCGGCTTGGCCCTGTTCCACGTACAATATATATTACGTATATTTTAATATCGAACCATATTGTCAAATTGGTTTCCGTACCACACCCAGTGCTCATCCCAACAGGTGCCCTCCTCAGTGCCCACCAGCCACGTTCCCTTCCCCCATCTGCATCAACCCTCAGTTTATTCTCAGTTCTTAAGAGTCTCTTATGGTTTGCCTCCTTCCCTCAATGTAACTTTTTTTTTCCCTTCCCCTTCCACATAAGAGTGAAAACATACGGTATCTCTCTCTGTATGACTTACTTCACTTAGCATAACACTCTCCAGTTCCATCCACGTTGCTACAAAAGGCCGTATTTCATTCTTTCTCATTGCCAAGTAGGATTCCATTGTACATCTGTGTACAATATATTATTTTAATTTCAGCCTCAGTGTCGTGAGGCAGAAGTACCGTTATCCCCTCTTGACAAGTGGAAACAGTGAGACTCAGAATTAAGGGATTTACTTGAAGTCACAAAGCCGGTAAGTAACAGAGACAGGAGAGAGCCTGGATGTAGGTCTTTTTACTCTAGAAATGGTCTTTGAACTGCATCCAGCTCCATCTTAGATTTGCTGGATTCAGATTTGTATCTGTGCTTAATTAGTCTCCTTTAAAGCAGCTCCTAGGAAAATCGTGAAATTACTTTGTGATGCTAAGAGAGCTCCCTTGGAGATTCCCAAGAGGATCTCACTTGTCTGGGTGCTAAGGTATCGGCTGCTAGGGCACAGGACTTGGTCCGAAGAGTGGAGCACGCCAGAGCTTAGAAAGGCCTGGTGTTTGTTCTGTCTTGGGGCAGAAGTACCTTTCTCAGACTTGCCCATTTCCCCAGGAGTCAGGGAGGAGATTGAACGTAGCACAGATTTCGGTACCGTTCGCGGACTAAAAGGAGCATATGCCACCTGTCGTTGATGTCACAGTTTGTAACCGTGGGTGAGACCTGATAACCGTGTTCTCCCCCCCCCACCCCCCCGACCTTCTGTCCTCTTCTCGAAGAACACCTGGGCTCACGTGTGGAGAAGGGGACACACACTGCTGGGTAGTTCTCTTATTTTGCAGTTAAGTGATTACTACTCCTTTTTTCCTGTCATAGGCCTGTAAAAGAGGAAATTCTGATATCGTACGACTTGTAATTGAATGTGGAGCTGACTGCAATATTTTGTCAAAGCACCAAAATAGTGCCCTGCATTTTGCGAAGCAGTGCAACAACGTGTTGGTGTACGACTTGCTGAAGAATCATTTAGAGACGTAAGTGTGCGTGAATGTGCCATGGTTCAGTCACAGAGTCGTCTTGGACACGTCATCGTTAGAGGTGTGGAACGGGAAAAGATTGTCGCGTGGAAGTCCTGCCAGGTTTCTGTTCTCAAAAGCTCATACGTTTAGTAAGTGCCATATGAGTTGTTTTTCCGCAAGTCCTTGAGGTCCTCAGACTTTTAAACTTAACACAGTCTTGCCTAGGAGTAACTCCTTAAAACCTTAATTATGCTTGCAATTTGGCTTACGGACATTTTCTCAAAACTGCGTAAGCTGTAGTTGTTGCTTTTTTAATAGACATAATTTGTAGAGCAGTTTTAAGTCACGGTGAAGTTGAGCCGAAAGCCCAGAGGTTCCTAAATACCCTCTGTTTCCACACATGCACAACTTCCCCGCCAACTTCTGTCGCCAGAGTGGTGTCTCCACGAACCCAGTGAACCTGCATGGACTGTTCTCGTCCAAACCCCCTGGTTTATCTGAGGGTTCACCTTGGTGTTGTGCAGCTTGGGGTTTTAACACATTGTAATGACATGTACCCACCATTGGTGTCATTCAGAGTGCCACTGCCCTGAACATCCTCTGTCCTGCTTATCCCTTCCTACCCCCTGACCCCTGGCAACCACTCGTCTTTTTACTTTCTCTCTAGTTTTGCTTTTTCCAGAATGTCATGCAGTTGTAATCCTGATGCTTGCCTTCTTCAGATGGCTTCTTTCTCATAGTAGTAGGCATCGAAGATCCTTCCATGCCTTTTTTTTTTTTAATGTTCGCTCGTTTGTTTGAACTCCAGTATAGTTGACATACAGGGTCACACTGGCTTCAGGTGGACGGTGTAGTGACCCGGCAAACCCGGTGCCCCTCCGTGACGAGTGTACGCTTTTTCCCGGTCACCTGTTTCAGCCTTCCCCCTACCAGCCTCCCCTCTGGCCACCACACTTCGTTCTCTGTAGTTAAGAAGGTGTTTTTTGGTTTGTGTCTTCATTTTTCCTTGGTTTTGTTTCTTCAGTTCCACACGAGTGAAATCGTATGGTATTTGTCTTTTTCTCTGACTTCACTTAGCGTAATGCTCTCTTGCTCCACCTATGTGGCTGCAAGTGACAAGACATCGTTCTTTTTTATGACTGAATAACATTACATTGTATATGTATTCCACATCTTTATTCATCAGTCGATGGACCAAGAGTTGGGCCGCTTCCAAAATCTGACTGTTGTAAATAACGCTATAAAAACATAGCCACCTCCGTCCTCCGTGTCTGATGGCTTGATAGCACATTTCTTGTTTTACTGAATAGTATCGCATTGTCTGGATATACCCCAGTTTATCCTTTCAAGATCATTCTTTTTCAAGCGAATTATTAGTATTATTTTTCTTTGTTAGAGAGAGGACAAGTGGGGAAGAGAGAGAGAATCTTAAGCAGGCTCCATGCTCAGCACGGAGTCCAACCCTGGGCTTGATTCCACAAGACTGGTATCGTGACCCGAGCCAGAATCGAGAGTTAGATGCTCATCCAGCTGAGCCACCTAGGCACCTCTTTTTAAGTGAATTCTAAATCATTTTATTCTAATTAAAAGTTCATGCAAGTCATTCGGTAGCTTTTTCACTTAATTATTTTGGCAACACATAACAGAAACTTCACAAACAGTCACAAACAGTAGGTAACACAAGTAAGGTGTTTATTGTTCATGTAACAGGAAGTCCGGGGGTAGGCAGCCTTCGGCAGGAATGGCCACTCTTCCCCTCTCTCCTCCACCGCCAGCCACGCTCAGGGTGTGACTCGGATCTTCGTGCCTGCACGATAGTTCCTCCAATTCCAGTATCAATATCCTAAGCAGCAAGTAAGGTAAATTTCAGACGAGAGACAAAAAACAGAACGAAAGGGCATGTGCGTGGTGAGTCTGCCGACATCGGCGGCCTTTGCCGGAAGCCTTCCCCAGCTGGTAATTTTTGTGTGTCTGTGATCCAGCACACCGGACTTCTCCTCCTAAAACCAGAATGTCCTGGGCAAACCAAATGAGTCGTTTAAAAATATTTTCTGAATTAGCACTTCTCAGTTCATTCGACTGCTTTCTAAACTAAGTACTATAACAAGGCGTGTGTGTGTGTGTGTGTGTGTGGCAGTTTTTGAATTTATTAATAGAATTCTCATTTTCATAGACAAATAAGTCCTGAGTGCTGTCCGTGTACCAGGAACTATTCAGAAGACTGGGAAGATGGAGACAGCAGTGAGGGAGAAAGATTTGCTCTCTTACAGCCTGAATTTCCATGTGACAGCACAGACATAAGACACATACATAGTGTGTCAGATGCCGAGTGCTAAAGAGAAGTGCAGAGAGGGAACAATGAGTAGGAAGTTAACGTTTGTTTTTTTTTAAGTTGATTTGGGAAGGCCTCACCGGTATTGAACAGTTTGATGATACTGTGACTCATGGTTATTTTCTACGTCAATATTAACAAGTCTATTCTTTTTTGTTAGACTTTCAAGAGTAGCAGAAGAAACAATAAGGGACTACTTTGAGGCACGTCTTGCTCTGTTAGAACCAATCTTCCCAATAGCATGTCACCGTCTCTGTGAGGGGCCAGATTTTTCAACGGATTTCAATTATAAACCCCCACAGAACATACCAGAAGGTAAGCCTGTGTTTTCTCTCAGTTTGAAAAGGGACACTGTAACTAATTTTTAAACAGTGTAGACCTCTTTCTGTGAACATAACTTGAACAGAGTCCCAGTGTGTGTAATAATTCTGCCAAATGGTTAACAGCAGGGCTACTCTGGCAGAGAGAAACCCAGTTGGTACCCACCATCCTAGGTGACCTGGAGGGACCCACAGAGCACTGTGTTAGCACTTGTTTAAAAAGTACGGAAGTTGGGGCAGCTCTTTCTGCCCACAGGTCCTGTCCCCGTACTTTAATAAAACCATTTCTCTCTCTCTCACACACACACACACACACACACACACACAGTCTGGAAGTTGGGTCTTAATAATTGTACTTGTTTGGTTTTTTCTTTTTTTAGTGTTTATTTATTTTGAGAGAGAGTGCGTGCGTGCACAAGCAGGGGAGGGGCAGAGAGAGAGAGCGAGAGAATCCCAAGCAGGCCCCCGTCTGGCAGTGCAGAGCCCAATGTGGGGCTTGAACCCATGAACTGTGAGATCAGAACCTGAGCCGAAATCAAGTCAGCACTTAACCAACTGAACCACCCACGCACCCCTAGTTATACGTTTTTTTTTTTTTAATTGAGTTTTATTAAAATTTAGTTAGCTTCAGGATTCTAAGCCCAGAGTGAATGTTTCTCCTGAATAAGCCAGTGTCTTGGCTCATCGTAAAGTTGAGTACCGAGAGATGGAAACTTCAGTTCTGCTTCCTAGGCTCTGCTTAACAGCTGCTTTGCAGGCAAGACCATGACCATGGCATGGCCTTCTATGGGACACTGGGACACCACATGTTTAAATGGAGAGAACACTGTCTCTGCCTGAAAGTAGGAAGCTGGGCTTTTCCTTTTCTGTTAAAAAAAATAAAAACATCCATTTAAAAAATATGTATTCAGGGGCACCTGCGTGGCTCAATCAGTTAAGCGTCCAACTCTGGTTTTGGCTTAGGTCATTATCTCGTGGTTTCATGACTTAGAGCATTACGCCGGGCTCTGTGCTGACAGCACGGAGCCTGCTTAGGATTCTCTCTCACTCTCTCTCTGCCCCTCCCCCACTCATGCTAGGTCTCTCTCAAGATAAATAACTTAAAAATTTTTTTAAATTAATAAAATAAATCGTATGGATTCCTTAATGGAAATTTAATTAAAATATAGCCATGAAAATTTCATACCATGAAAAGACATCTATTCATAACACCTGTGTTTAGTGACCTGGACACTGAAGAATCATTTGTGGTTTCCACTGTCCAGACGGTTAGTTCGCATTGCTGGGTGGCGAGCACCAGGTTGGGGGTTGGGGTGCAGGGATGGGTGAGTTGAGCCCGGCGTCTCCCAGCATGCGTAACTCATGGGCCCCAGAGCACCAGGACTGCCTTAGGGTTACTGAGGGCTCTTTTCTGCACATGCGCAACATCTGCAGCCAACAGAAATTTTCTGTTTCCAAAATCTCAAAGATGCCTCGTCGTCCTCAGACCGAAGATCCTGATAGGTTTTCCTGCCCCTCGCTAGCCCGTGAGAGATGCAAGACTCTCAGGCCCCGCCCAGACCTGACCCTCAGTCCACACCCTGGTGAAGTCTCCATTTAGGAGCACACTCAGCCCTGAGAAACACTGACCTTGGGCTCTTGAGGAGACTGTAATTGTTCAACACCTAGTTCGGCTGGAGAAAATGTTTATATCGATACCACAAAACAACTGCTGGCAAACTGATTAGAGTCCCCTGTGTCATTTTCTTCTGTGAAATTCAAGTATTTGTCAGAGGAGAGCAAATAAACACACCTCCCTTAGATCTCCTTTTGGTCAGAATAAACAGCACCTGAATGAAAGATTTTCGGATAGGATTTTCCCTATTGACCACGTGCCCCCATTCGGGCCATTTTGAAGAGTCACCACCCTCCTTTTCGGTGCAGTCAGTAATAAATACTCAACTCTTTGATAGTGGAGTTGATGGGAAAAAGACTGTAGGCCTTCTCTTCTTTTGAACCTCAGCACTCAGGTGAGTGGGGGGTTGCATTTTAAAGCTAGAGAGCAAAACCAGGATGTCAGACCTTAAACAGCTTGAAAGGAAAGGTAAGAGGGCCAGGGGCTCTGTGTGTCCTTCTTTCCCTGGGATCAGGACAGATGGTTCCTTGGGGTCTCTTTTATGAAGTATAGAATTGTTCTGGACCATTGTTTTTTTTTTTTGTCCTGAAAGTGGCTTACCAGAAGGGTCATGAGTTCATACGCCTATTTTCTGTTATACTGGAAACTATGGCTTATGTTCAAAGAAATGAGTCATGCGGTACAGTTCGGATATTCAATGAAAGCTTCAAACCTCATGTTCCTCCCCCCGCCTAGAATAAGTTTGGGTATTAACCGAAAAATCTGGAAAGAGCCAAATACCATGTGGAAGAAAATGGACAATCATTCAAACCCACACCCAGAAACAGCCACCACAGAAGTTTGCTTCCATGGACATTTGCATTCCATGGACATGAATATGTATTCAGCTGCAAATTATAAATACCGCTACTTTTTTAGACCAAAAACTGTTATGTAGAAAAGCGTATTTTTAAAATTTTGATTCATGAGTTCTCAGTAGGCATTAGACAGAAAATAAAAGGGATCTGTGGTTTGAAAAGTGCTGGGAGGGACACCTGGGTGGCTCAGTTAAGCATCTGACTCTTGCTTTCGGTTCAGGTCGTGAGCTCATGGTTCATGAGTTTGAGCCCCAGGTTGGGCACAGAGCCTTTGGAATTCTCTCTCCCCCTCTGTCTCTCTCTCAAAATAAATAAACTTTTAAAAAATTTTTTCTAATGCCAAGTTTTGAAATTGGAGGACTGATGATTTGGTGTGAATGGGCACCGGGTGGGGTGCTGCTCCACCCAGGCGCATTCTGGGGACCGCTTCCAACTTGTACGGGGTGCATCTCCCTCTGAGCTGAAAGGTGGCCATGTTAGGAGTGGTATTAAAATCTGTGTTTACATCTCCCTTATTCAGGCTCTGGCATCCTGCTGTTTATTTTCCATGCAAACTTTTTGGGTAAAGAAGTAATTGCTCGGCTCTGTGGACCGTGTAGTGTGCAAGCTGTAGTGTTAAATGATAAATTTCAACTTCCGGTTTTTCTGGTAAGATTTTCTGTAGTTCGTTACTGAAAAGCACATTCTTCTGATCCAGAAGCACAGATGACGTTTAAATTGCTGTTTTAATAAAGTACGTTAATTTTAATTTAGTAAACCACTTGGAAATGAGGCAATAACCTATAATCATAAAGTAAAATTGTCCCACATTTTGTCAATGTAAGTCTGGATTTCTAAATGTTTGATATATATGCCTTAAGTTACATTTATCACGTCTTAGAAATTCTTAAGGTAGAAGAAACATACTGATTTTAAAATACTCTGCCTTTTCCCACCGTTATAATTACAAACATTCACTTAAAGAAAAATTTGGAAATCTTAAAAGTATTCTGTTCTTCAAATACCCAGAAACACAACCACTAGTATAACATGGGTGTACTGAGGCTGAGCTTTAGGCAACCATTGTACTGTAATTTTGCTTTATAATAACAAATGTATTAGTGGCTATATACATTTTTTAACATAAAAAAATGGTCTTGAAGAATCTTTGTGTATGTTTCCTTTTCCACAGGTAGAATTCTTTCCTTAGGCTGAATTCAGCAAAATTAACTGGTTATGAAGATTTTTTAACACTCACGCTCTATATGGCTGGATACGTGCTAATCCTAAAGATTTATCTGAGTATTGTTTTTTTGCAGATAAATCTTAAGCTTTGTCATTTGTATCTTTTTAATAAATCAAGGGGAAAGTAGTCACAGGAAATTGCTTTATATAAATTAAAATACAAAACTGGTATTCTCTTCTATCACTGGGAGTCTGAAAGGTTTTTGTTCTCTTAAGCTACAGTGATACTCTTAGACGTAGAAGTTTGAGGAAACACTGACTGTGGTCTTTCTCTCTAGGATAGCCATTTTGTTTACTCGTTCAGCCCTGCTACAGGCCTCAATAAACTCTTCATAAGGTTGACGGAAGCGCCTTCTGCCAAGGTGACAATCCTTTCCTCACATTTAGTGCAACTACTCACATTGCTATTCCAGCAGCAAGCCCAATGTGGGGCTCAGTCTCACGAACCGTGAGATCATGACGTGAGCCGAAGTAGGTGCTCAACCAACAAAGCTACCCAGGTGTCCCTAAGCATCCAATGGTCGTGAGTTCACAAGCCCCACATTGGGCGGCACGCTGGATGTGAAGCCTACTTAAAGGGGAAAAAAAAAAAAACATACAATGTGTTAGACATAATTGTGTGTCATAAATTGTGTGGAAAGATGAGAAGAATGCATCTCTCCAGTACGGAGCAGCCGGAGTTGTATTCTAGGCTGTTATTTAATGGCCATATGTATGTCTCATAGGCTGCTCACTAAACATAGGCTGCTCACTAAACATTTCTTTGTAAAATGAAGATGAACCAAAAAAGTCTATGTAATAAGTGGTAGTTATTTACTATAACTTTAAGCACTTGGATTTATTAAAAGTGATAACCTAACACTTGAATTGATAATCAATTTGAGACCATTGCCAAATAAGAACTTTCTGCCGCGCGCACGCTCGCGCGCGTGTGTGTGTGTGTTTTCCCTCCTCTAAGAAAGGGGGCCTCGGCAGAGGTGTTGGTGCTGCTACGTTGCCTCTTTTCTTTCAACAGGTGAAGTTGCTGATAGGCGCATACAGGGTGCAGCTGCAGTGACGGAACAGAGTCGGGACGGAGTCCTTTCCAGACCTGTTTTAGGACCCTGGCACAGCTAACACCTCCAGATTTGAAGTTTCATCTGTAAACCTCTTGCAGTTTCGGGCTGGGTATCTGTTACGGGCTGTAAGATGGGACGTGGGGGTTCTAATATATTCTGAAATAGAGATGTATTTGTGCCAGTGTTCTCAAATCTCGATGTTGTCTCCAGACTGCATACTTCGGTTTTTCCACAATGTGGAATGGTATATAGAATTATTTAAGAAAATTAAAAGTCTCTTTTCTAACTTGAAATTTTCTACTAGCCCTGGTGAATTTCTGCATTAAAAACAAGTCTGTATATGCCAAGCACTAAGTAAGGGGCGAATTTGCTGGCCTCGAAGGATGACTTCTCTGACTTGGTAGGCAGGTTCGAGGGAGGCGGTGTGAGGTCTAATCTGCAGTTGCCATAGGTCCTGAATTGGAGGTGACAACTTTTTGTATTTGCAGTTACCCTTTATTCCGGGAAAAGATAAAAGAAGATACGACTCACAAACTAACTTTTATCCTTGTTCTTAGAATCCATCAAGTAATTTTTAAAAAGCAGATCTTGTGCCCTCGTTACGAACGCTGGGAAGGCAGCTGAGGTTTGTCCGCCACACTGGGCCTCATGTGAAGAGCTATCGTCTCTACAGATTCCCCACAGGTGTTAAATTCTCTTAAGAAATATTTGGCAAACTAGTAAGTCAAAGTCCATCTGGACTACAGAGATGTACAAAATTATTTAGTTCCTGATTGGTTTTATAATTGTTTGAATTACAATTTTCATGAAAATTTCAAAAGGTCACATATTTGACCACATTGTACAGATATTTGAGAGAGCCGTTTTTACTTTACAGCACTAAAACGGCCTTTTCCTACAGTTTTCTCAATAAAATACCACAATGTTGGTCTGTTTTCTTTGTATCTCAAGTCTCAAGACTTCAAGGTGGATACTAATGTGTAATATTTTTAACTAAATGACAGCTGGGATTGGAATTTTTTCAGCTATATTGAATCATGCACTAGTACTGTGTCTAGTACTTTCTAGAAAAATCACAAGACCGAGCAGCAGTGGATAGGTCAGGAACAGCAAGGGAGACAGTACCTTAATCTAATACACACTAAGAGATATGGGTTTTTAAAGAAAATCTGTTCTGTCAAAATCATGCTGAAGATCTCCATCATCATCTTTATAAGCACACATTATTACAAGGTGATGTGCTGTTGATCCAAGAGGTAAGGCCAGGCTAGAAACCAAGGAGAACGACGAGTAGTTCCTTCAGTAGGAGTTTAGGCTCAGAAGGATGAAAGCTGTTAGAAGTCAGCAAGGAGAAAAAAAAAAAAAAAATCTTTAACAGATGAAACTTAATTATAGGAAAAGTGGCAAGTTCTTTTGACAGAAGCGGGGTCAGGGAAGGAAGACAAAGTTTGAGCTTACTTGGAGTAACACCACCTTTGAGTTGTCCATCTCAGCTTTGTGCCAGATGTGCAAACAGTTGTGTCTACCAGGAATGGAAGGTACAGCCACACAACTTAATACATTTTGCTCTAAATTACACCTTTGTTGTTGTTCTTTTGAGAGAGAGGGAGGGGCAGAGAGATGGAGGGACACTCCCAAGCAGGCTCTGCGCTGACAGACACGGGGCTCAGACTCACGAACGGGGAGATCATGACCTGAGCCGAGATCAAGAGCAGATGCTTCACTGACTGAGTCCCCCCGGCGCCTCAGCTATAGCTTCTCTGGAGCCAAATGAAAAGCACACTTGTCCACTTTGGTTTCTTAAGGGTGAAGGAGACTTGAATTGTCTTGAGACTCGCACTTGGGAGAGTGGTTTCTTGCTGGTTCTGTGATGAGGCAGCTAATAATTCCGTCAGATATTAATAATGCTGCTTTGATTATTCAAATAAAGTATGTACAAAGTGTGAGCCTTGGCTTCTCTGGAAAACAAAGCAATTCTCAAGCGGCAGCTTAACCAAAAGGTTTACAGACCTGCTTAGGTACTGCAGGTCAAAACCAAAGCAATCTTCTTAGTATATACAACACAGAATATATAACTAAACTTTATCATCTGGGCCGTGGGTGATATCACTAAGTACATCATCACTGAAAAGCACACAGGCCACATTTTTACTTCAATTTTATCTTAGAAAAAAATCACCCTCAGTCTTTACTCTTTTCTGGTGCATATGGCAGTGAGGACATCCTAATTGGATGACTCCGTGAACTTCTATATCATTCGTATCTGGCCCACTCTAATAAGCATGGCTGTAGCGGAAAACACATTATACGGGCTTTTCTCCGCAATGGTTAGTACCAAAGAGAAACTTCTAATACCTAACACTATGCAAATGTTGGACCACAGTTAGTTTGCTTTCACTCCGAGAATAGGTCATTTAGGATCACTGATTAGCAAAGACCAAGGAAAAGGAGGATACATACGCCAGAATTGTCAAAAAGTGACTTGTGAAATAATTCTGAAAAATTTAACATTTCATACAGTTCATGTTTCATAGCCCAAATACTATATAAACTCCTAAAACTGTTTTAAACTTTATTGGCTAAGTAAACGCAGAGAACCACTCACAGGATCCATACGGCTTTCCTCTTCTCTGTGCAGACTTGCAGATAAATCTCCTTTCAGACCAAACTGGGATTTCTAGGCCTCACATCTACTTCCAAGTAAAGAAAAGTGTTACTAGTAAGCTAAATCTAATTACAGTGAGGAGGCACAAATAAGGACCAAATTAAAATCCAGAAATAGTCCTCTGCCGACATCCAGAGCCCCCAAGAACCCCAGCTGGAATCTAACCCTAATACTGCATATCAGTTTAACTTGGAAGAAATTAATTTTTCATTATTCTACAACACACTATTTCCCTCATACTCTTTGCTTTCTTTGGGCTTAAATATATATACATGGCTTTAGTAAAACGTGATTTTTCTCACAACAGTGCCAGATTTCATGAGTAGCCCCTTATCTTGGGGACTGACCCCAAATTGCAGGCTAGAGGGGATGCCAAAAAAAATCCCTCTAACAGTTCCCATTTATAGCGAATTGAAAGGAGAGTTTGTCATTCTGTATTTGTAGGCTACTACCACACTACTTTGCAACGTCAGCCAGCAAGAACTCTTAGAACACCTGAATGAAAGTGGAAGTTTGCACCATTCCAGATATTTTAACCACGGAAAATTTGTCCATGAGGCATAATGTCAAGTGTTAACGATTATTCATAAGTTGTTTATATGGAGTAATAAATTCACAAATGAAATCTCTGTTTTCTGGCTGTTTCTCCTCTGACTTTAAAAGCATTTCTCCCACAAGATGACCTGGAAAAAAAGACAAATTCTTTATTAGCAAACAGGAATTAATATCTGTAGTGTATTTTCTGTTATAAAAAACAAAGAAAATGTAGTCCCCATGGCAGAGCAACACCAGCTGTTAGAAATGAAAATTCTCAGGCCTTCTAAATCACAAACAGTGGGGTCTGTATTCTAATAAGCCTCCAGAGGGTTCTGCTATACCTTGAAAACATGAGAACCACTGTTTCAAAGGATAACCTGAAGATAATCCAATTTTTAATAAAATTCCTGCATTTTGTTAACTTCCAAAACTTTGAGTTAATTATCTTCCTGAAATGAATCACTCTGTTTTTGCTGACTATAAAATCTGTAATAAAAAGCAGTTACTTCAAATAAAAACACTATTCATCTCTTACCAAAATTAACTTCAAAATCCTCAAGTTCCAATGACAAATTCACTTGACAAGCCTGTAAGATCTCTCTCCGCTGGCCACATAATGCCACAGCTTTGATCTGTGCCACAGTCAGCCTATGTATCTTAAATTTTTTCCCCTTACCCGTACATTCTGAGGTTACTTCTTCAAATTTTAAGTAAAGGATTCACAAAGAAGTCTGAAAATTTAATACCAACAAAAGGTCTAAAGGATATTTACAAAGTAATTCTCTAATTTCAAAAGGGATTCTAATTTTGTAAATAGTAGAAACCACAATTTACCTGGATGGCTTTTATCATTCCCTCCCCACCCCCTGGATTCTCTACACTCAGTGTGAGGCTGGAACTCACAACTCCAGAGATCAAGAGTCGCACGCTCTACTGACTGAGCAAGCCAGGCACCCCTACCTACAGAGCTCTTAAAAATAAAGAATCTTGTTTTGCTGGATCCCAACCCTCAAGTTTACATTCAGTAGGTGGACCTGAGAATGTGCATTCTTGATCCCGGAGGAGAACGACACTGGTCTAAAGGGCCAGCTTTGAGAATTACTAACCAAAGTTAATTTCCTAGAGCTGGATAAAAGAACACAAACCAGAGCTGTCACATTTTTGTATTCATGGGCATCAGATACTTTAAAAGGGGGAAGTTTCTCCAGGTTTCCTTATATGCCAGAGCCTCTGACACAATGTGTGCTCAGATCTCCTGAGATCTTGTTTCAGTGGGTAGTCTGGTTGATGTGGTCAGCTGTGCGTTGAGATTCTGCACTGCCAAGAGAAACCCTTAAGGCTGGTGCTGCTGGTCCCCAGGACAACCCTTGTAGCAAAAACAGAGGAGCTCCTTTATCGCCACCAGATAAAGTGGTTGGAAAAGAAATAACCTTAAAACAATACTTTCTGGAGCTATTAGGATGACATTTTACCATCAACAGAATTCTGTCATAGTAAGTCACGATGTAGGGGTGCCTAGGTGGCTCAGTCAGTCGAACGTCCAACTCTTGATCTCAGCTCGGGTCACGACCTCGCAGTCTGTGGGATAGAGCCCTGCATCAGGCTCTGCGTGGATAGCATGGGCCCTGCTTGGGATTCTCTCTCAAGTAAATAAATAAAAAAATAATGCTTTTTTAAGTCCCAATGCAAATGTTGCTATAAAATAGAAAATTTGCTGCCTTTTAAAAGGGTAGAAAGAGCAGCAAGGGAGAAATGGAGCTGGTATCCCTAGTACTGATCTGAATTTATGATATTAAACCATTTCTGAGGGGCACCTGGGTGGCTCAGTCGGTTAAGCGTCCGACTTCAGCTCAGGTCACGATCTCACAGTTTGTGAGTTGGAGCCCTGCATCAGGCTCTGTGCTGACAGCTCAGAGCCTGGAGCCTGCTCTGGATTCTGTGTCTCCCTCTCTCTCTGCCTCTCCCCTGCTTGTGCTTTCTCTCTCAAAAACAAACATTAAAAAATTTTTTTATTTATTTATTTATTTTTAAATAAAAAAATCCACCATTTCTGAGATTACACACTTTCCGGGGCGCCTGAGTTGCTCAGTCAGTTGAGCGTCTGATTCTTGATTTTGGCTCAGGTCATGATCAGGATCAGGTCATGGGGTTGAACCCTGAGACCAGCTCCACGCTCAGCATGCCTGATCTATTCTTTCTTTCTTTCTTTCTTTCTCTCCCTCTCTCCCCCCCCTTCCCCGCCCCCTCCCCAACTTGTGCTCTCTAAAATAAAAATAAATAAGATTTTTAACAAAGATTTACACACTTTACAAGGAACATAAGACTAAAATTCTAGACTTAGGATCACTAAAACCCAGGAGGGAACTTCTTTCTTAGTAAATAAGACCTGTTTAATATTTTATCTCTACTCTTAGTTCAGTTTTACCTAAGGACAAGTCAGTATACCAACCAGTGAGGAAAGACGAGGGCAAATGTGGAGTTAAAAATCGCCTCTGACTGCTCAGATAAAAGGGCGGTGCCCCTGCAGATCCCGTAGGACCGCGGAGGAGCAGAGGTTTCAGCTTCTACTACAAACTATCCTTCACATCCGTTCCGGAGGTCCGCAGGCAGCACCAGGAAGTAGGACTAAGGAAACTAAGAAGCAAGGAACGTTGTTTTAACGGACATTGACTGACCTGAAAGGAAATCTGACACCAGCATTTCCTAGTCTCTGAACTTGATTCATGCCAGAAGCCGATATTCAGGCAGCTTCATCCATGTTTTCTTTCACCCTCCTAGAAATAAAAATCAAATTTGGCCAGTTTCAATGATCAATAAAAAGAAGTGTTAAATCATTTTCTTAAAGTTCTTAACCGTAATCGGTTCCCACTCAGTAAAGATCTTCCTTTGAATAATTCACTTCCTCGAAGAACATCAACAGACTTAAAATTCAACTCAATTTTATGTCTTGGCATTAATCACTACTAAATCCTACACCTTGAGTTTCCAAACCTGCTAATAATTTTAAGATATTGAGAGCCTAGTTTGCTAAATCCTTCCTTTTTATTTCGGTAGGCAGGCCCTCTTGTTTGCATGGTTGATCCCTCAGCATACCACTGCCTGAAATTTTATAATCCAGAATCCTACACAGGATACTGATTCCTACTCTAATTTGCAACATTTTATTCTACTTGTA